ATCACAGAAATCACACATGACTCCATGAAAATGGCCGAGGGGGGGGGGGGGGAGAGGGGTGTTATACTTGCTAATATTTCTTAAGCCATTTAACTTAAGACATTCCTCGACCATCCTATGACCTCCCTGTACGCCAGACCATTCACGCTGCAAATTTGGGTGAGGCTAACTCCAAATATTCGGCCTGTAAGTTTGGACAGACAGACAGGCAGACTGTCTGTCTCTCTCGTCTGTCCATCTGTCTGTCTGTCTGTCTGTCTGTCTTTCTCTCTTATAGTTTTAATTTAATCAAAACTATATTTTCTCGATTAAGAACTCACAGGGAAATGGAAAAAAGATGCCTGGTGTCTATACTGTGACACCTACCTATTCTTTTAAATGGTGCATACCCCGATCTGCCCATGATGGGCGCTCACCCCACAACAATCACTGTGAAAGTTGGTTAAGGCTTGCTCCAAACATCTGGCCTCTAACCTCAGACATTCAGACAAACAAACATTACATTTGTCTGTCAGACAAACATTCCGCTCTTCTGAAGAACATTCTTCAGGCTAAATAATTAAAGTCTGTTAAATTTATATAGAGTCGTAGTCGTGTTAATTAACATGACCGTGGGAGCGGAAGCTACAAATTGACCTCATGTTGTTCTCTCGGAGACACTCCAGGAGTGTATATTATATTGTTACTTTACCTCTTCTTGAGAGGAGGTCCTAGAGTGTGGAGGTGGTGTGGGTGTAGGGTGTTGGTGGAGGGTGTAGGGGGGGGGTGTAAGATGTGGTATGTGTGTGTGTGTGTGTGTGTGTGTGTGTGTGTGTGTGTGTGTGTGTGTGTGTGGTGTGTGTGTGTGTGGTGGAGGTTGGGTTATGGTGGCGGAGTTTATGAAGGAATTTATGATGATTTTGTGGTAGGAGGAGGAACTCTCTGCTTCCTCAGGTCTGTCCTTCCTCTCTCTCTCTCTCTCTCTCTCTCTCTCTCTCTCTCTCTCTCTCTCTCTCTCTCTCTCTCTCTCTCTCTCTCTCTCTCTCTCTCTCTCTCTCTCCCAACACCTCCCCCAACACCTCCCCCAACACCTCCCCCAACACCTCCCCCAACACCTCCCCCAACACATCCCCCCAACACATCCCCCCAACACCTCCCCCCAACACCTTCCCCCCCCCCCCGCCCCAACACCCACCAGCCTCCCCAGGCATCAAGAGGTCCCCAAGGCCCGGCGACGCAGAATATCACTCTGCCAGATAATCGCCGTCAGGAGGCGGCCCGAGCCTGGACCTAATTACCTCCTGCATTATTAATCTCTAATGTTGGCAAGCTGCAACTCCGGGTCAACAGGGAGATGAACGTCGACATTCCTGGATCATAGCGGCTCTCTGAATGGAGTCTCCCGGGGTGTGACAAGGGGGTATTACGGGGTGAAGCTAGTGCCCCGGGGTGTGACAAGGGGGTATTACGGGGTGAAGATGATGCCCCAGGGTGTGACAAGGGGGTATTACGGGGTGAAGCTAGTGCCCCGGGGTGTGACAAGGGGGTATTATGGGGTGAAGCTAGTGCCCCGGGGTGTGACAAGGGGGTATTATGGGGTGAAGCTAGTGCCCCGGGGTGTGGTTCATGCATCAAGAGGGTCATGTCTGGCCTGAGCTTCCAGAAATGTAGTCACCCTTCTGACGCAACTCCTTGGGGATATCCGGGGCCCAAGAGCTTAAGCACTCGTGTACTGAAGACTCCGGCTCATGCTAGTGTTGATCTTGACAATGTTCAGCACCAAGTGCGACTCTCAGACGCCCTCGTGCTGCACAAAGTCTCATGCTGTGTGCCAGCGACATTTATAGAGCCTTCGCTTTGACTTGCCATTTAAACAGCAAACGTTCGTCAGCGTTTGGACGTTTGCAACGTTTTGCAGTTTTCTGGAAAGGCTGGAAAACGTTGCACCTAATACCCACAGGTTTCTACTTTGGTATCGATCGTCTTCAAGGAGCTGAGAACGTGTTATCTGTCGACTCATCCAACTCGTTTCAAAATAAGATAAACTGTTTGATCGTTATATATATATATATATATATATATATATATATATATATATATATATATATATATATATATATATATATATATATATATATAATTAAGGGGGAAGGTACCCGGCGTTGCACGGGTCTGTCTGTCTCCCATCTGTCCATCCATCTAGCTATTCATCTATCTATCTATCCATGTCACTCTGTCCATCCATCAATCAATCCATCTTTTTGTCCATTTATCTTTCCATCTATCATTCTATTCATCCATCTATATATATCCATCCATCTGCTTATTTATCTATCTATCTAACCATACATTTATCCACCCATCCATCTCCCCAGTATCCAGCCCTCACCATCACCACCTCCCCCCCCCCTTCACCACCATCACCACCTCACCCTCCCCCCCCTTCACCACCATCACCACCTCACCCTCTTCCCCCTCCCCCCTTCACCACCTCACCCTCTTCTTAAAAGATTCAGAATGTTGAACAAAATTATAAATGTTTAGTTGTTCAGAATGTTTAAGATAATCTATAATACATATTATTATTCGTTTATTTTTGTCCAGAGTATATTCAATATTTGTTTATTTTTGTCCAGAGTATATTCAATATTTGTTTATTTTTGTCCAGAGTATATTCTATATTCGTTTATTTTTGTCCAGAGTATATTGTATATTCGTTTATTTTTGTCCAGAGTATATTCAATATTCGTACGATAGCTGTTATAATAGTTTGATTGTATTGACTACATTCAACATACTCAATTCCGAGGACTCTAAAGTGTTAGGCAGATATATTTCCTCTGAGTGACCAGGTTGTTATGGTTAGGTCTTTGGAGACGCTGGTACCCGTAGTCTCACTAATTACCCAACCACTTGGGCACGAGATGACACCAACGTAAGGGAGAATATATCACATTTTTTTGTCTCAAAACCAGATATAGTTCATGAGCATTTTCCCCCCGAGCATTGTCGAGAGTTAAACAAATTCTCTAGATAAGTGGTGGTTAGAATTATTTTCCCAATTTGGGGAGAGAGAGAGAGAGAGAGAGAGAGAGAGAGAGAGAGAGAGAGAGAGAGAGAGAGAGAGAGAGAACCAATAAAGTTCACAATAAGTATGTCAATAAGAACTTTTACATGTAACACCAGCTCTAAAGTGCCCAGTCTTGACTATTACATTACATTAGTAATGTAAAGCCTCATAATACTCACTTCTTGCAGCTTTACACTTAAATCACCTGAAATTGACACTTTCATTGTCGTAGAGCACTATGAGCATTACCCATAGAGAAAAGGGCGACCCTCTAGCGGTACTCTTTAAGGAGACTGCCACTTCAACATACAGATCAATATTCAAAGAGCAGGGCCCCCTGGAGGTGGGGTGGGGGGGGGGGGAGGTGTTGCTCCCTGTGCCACCACAATGTGACGAAAATGTGCTCCTTGTTCGCCCCCCCCCTTGTCCCCTCCCCCCCCCCCTGGTACCCACGTGTTTCCCTTTCGTCTCCAAGGATTACCCTTTGGTACCCTGTCGTTCCCCTTAGCTCTCCCTTGTTCCCTCTGGTTCTCCTTCACTCAATGCTACCAGAGCTGTGTTGACCTATGGGACTGTTGTGTCTTGTCGATGCATGCTTCATCTACCCTCAGTGCTGCTATACATAAATGCATACCTCATCTACCCTGTATACTGTTATGAGACAGTGTCAGACCACGGAGGTAAATTGAAACAGGAACTCCTGTTTCCTTCTGAAGATGTATTAATATACGAAAGTACTAAAGGAAATTCCTGTTTCAATTTTCCTCCGTGGTCTGACACTGTCACATTTTTAATCACGTGTTTATTTTCGTGATTTACACACATACTGTTATGTATATAGTGGGGTCTTTACCTGCAGTCTGTTTCGAGAATTCTTAATTCCCAAGTGCGACCCGAGGCCACGCTAGTCTGGTGATTATTTGATCGGTTAAACTAATGGTTGCAGCGGCTCGCAGGCCCGTATGCCCATTGCAGCCTCGTGATCCGCCACTTGCTGCTCGAACCTGCTAAATTACCGCGCTGGAAACTTAAGTGTTCCGTCACTGTTTCTTATATTTGGCTGACGGAGGGGGTGGGGGGGGAAGGCTTACAAACAAACGTACAGTCTCGACGTTCTAGCAAGGTTGTTACGTCGTTATAACGTACAAATAACGTTGACTGGGCTTACGTTACTACAACTACTACTCCTCATTGGGTCAATTCTGCATTTCCTTCTACATGTTCCGCTCCAGCACGTTGTTATTTTTGCAACCTGACATTTGTTCCTCGTTATTGACTTGAGGCGTTGTTTACCTGGTTGATACCTGCTTGATACCTGCTTGATACCTGCTTGATACCTGCTTGATACCTGCTTGATACCTGCTTGATACCTGCTTGATACCTGCTTGATACCTGGTTGATACCTGGTTGATGGGGTTCTGGGAGTTCTTCCACTCCCCAAGCCCGGCCCGAGGCCAGGCTTGACTTGTGAGAGTTTGGTCGGTTAAACTGTTGGTTGCAGTGGCTGGCAATTAGTTTATGTTAACTAATACGAAGACATTTCCATTTTTGGCCTTGTTTCTAAGAGGTTTGGATATACCTCTCCGACCCACCCCAAGGAGTGCACTGGTGAGGCGTCGTCGTCCCTTCACCTTCTAGTGTGTGGTCTGGTCAACTTACTTTAGCCACGTTATTGTGACTCGTCGCCTGCACTGGTGTTATTATTGTGGTCAGTTATGGCAGTTCGAGTGGTGGAGATTAATGGGGGGGGGGGTGTAGTAGCGGTTGTGCTTGGTGAGGTATGGTACGGTAGTTATCAAGGGAAGGGTAATCAGGGGGGGGGGGGGAAAGAGCCACGCCATTACGGCTATATGTATATAGCACTTAGATCAGGATAAGGATTTGGGATAGGACGAGCGGAAGGAATGGTGCCCAACCAGAACTTTCTAGATTAAGATGGCTCCTGACTATCATGACGTCACAAGAAAACGATGACGTCATCGTCATGTTCCGTAAGTTGATCAGCCAATGAGGGGGCACCCTGGCAAGCATCACGTCGTTATGTCATTGGAGGAAAGCACTCAGTCGTCAGTTGCACGTCATAGGAGAAGGTGGTGCTTATACTTGCGTCCCCCCCCTCCCCCTATCCTTCACCCACTCTTCCAATTGTGAAGCCGTGAGGGATTGCCTATGAATTTCTGATCAGCGACGGTTTGTGAGGACGCAAAGATGCCAACAGCCTTCAATCTGTAACACCATTTGCTATTCCATCCGGAGTTGATACGCGCAAATTCTGACAGGAAATGCAGAGCTTTTGTTCCGGTTCGTGAGTGGTTGTGTATCTGGGAAAGTTTACTTGGAAAATGTTCCAGTTCCAAGTGGTATTGGTAGTGGGACTAAATGTTCCATAGAGTGTTTGGGTGAATATAAATAGGAGCTGAATTATATGGATTATCAGGCCTTTTCTGTGGTGTCCATTATTATTAAATAATTAATAGTGGACCGAGTACAGGAAGGCGAGATTATGAAGTCTTATTACCGAGGACGTAACCCCGTGTGGTTCTGTACGGCTGTAACACATCCACTAGAAGTGGTAACCAAGTAATACCAACACAAGCAACACAAGGAACATAGATTTAAACTAGCTAAACACAGATGCCGAAGAAATATAAGAAAATTAACTTTCCCAAACAGAGTGGTAGACGCTTGGAACAAGTTAGGGGAGAAGGTGGTGGAGGCCAAGACCGTCAGTAGTTTCAAAGCGTTATATGACAAAGAGTGCTGGGAAGACGGGACACCGCGAGCGTAGTTCTCATCCTGTAACTACACTTAGGTAATTACAACAAGCAGGGGTCAGTGGACATAGTGAAACGTGGCGTCTATTTTCCGTAGACTTCCGACACTGACCAAAACAAATTCCGTTCAACTTGCTGGGAGAAAACCTGATTACCCCCCCCCCCCCCCGTCGCTCATTGATTATTAAACCAGCGTCCCCAACGTCAAGCAACTGTCGTATTAAAGTGCCCTATCCTAACCTACCACAGGTCCCATGAACAGAAAATGGGACCTTTCAGTTTTGTGAGCCGCTTCCATTTTCTAGTACGACAGTTTCTGGCCTTAGGTAACGTATACGTCAAAATGCGACGTGCTATTACGAGAACTGGTTGGGTAATTAGGTGACGTTCCCGACTAGTGATATCGGTGAATGTTATTTATAACGGAAAACGTGTGAGTGTGCGCATTTATATATATATATATATATATATATATATATATATATATATATATATATATATATATATATATATATATATATATATATATATATATATATATATATATATATGAGTTATTCGCTCTCTATGTAACCTATCTTAGCCCTTTCTATACACAAAATCATAGTATATATATATATTAATTTATATTCGAAAAAATATTGTTTTGGTCACATAGTGTGTTAAATATGACATGAGGAGTGAGCCTCAGCTTGGACGAGGATAGCGAGTGGTTGGTTGCTTCAGGCTCTTCACCCACGTACTTCAGGGACTGGTAATGCCCAACACAATCAAAACAGCTATCCTAACCTATCCTAGACCTAACCTATCCTAGACCTAACCTATCCTAGATCTAGCCTAAACTATCCTACACCTAACCTAACCTATTCTAGACCTAACTAAAAACAAAATTACACTATATGACAGTATTACTCTATATCTAAGAAATCCCAGTATTTACTCACACATTATGAGAACGGCTTGGGCATAACCACAGATGGATATAATGGAATAAACTACCACGTTATGCCACCTTCTAACCAAATCACACATCTATATTAAATAAATACTTATCCAGACGAGCGTACAGTGATAACGAGAGCAAACTCTCGGACTCACCACAGTCTACGTTAAATCCGGTGAAGCTAACGTGAATGTATTATGTTACAGACTTAACAAGAGTCACCGGGCGGCCCAGGATGCGGAGTACCCGGCCTACGGGGTGACGGGACCCAACAAGGACCTCTCCCCGTCCTCCGGGGACCGCAAGCTGGCCCAGTCTGCCCACATGTACCATTACCAACACCAGAAGCAGCAGATGATCGCCCTGGATAAGTAAGACTTAGTGCCGCTATCATCCGCTTCTCAGTAGGGTAGGGGGGGGGGATGTTTTGATGTCTGGGCCCCGCCTTGTGGGTCCCTGGTGGTCCCTCTGTGTGTGTTAGATTATAAATGGGTGATAGATAGTCTCATCTATCACCCTAATAACTCAGTGTGTTAGATGACAAGGGTCCCATCTATCACCCCCTAATAACCCATGTGTTAGATGACAGGGTCCCATCTATCACCCTAATAACCCAGTGTGTTAGATGACAGGGGTCCCATCTATCACCCTAATAACCCAGTGTGTTAGATGACAGGGGTCCCATCTATCACCCTAATAACCCAGTGTATTAGATGACAGGGGACCATTATATGACCTTAATGACCTCCCAGATGACGGGGGTCTGTGTAACCCTCTAACAGGTTGCTGCCTGGCTGTGGTGCCCAGCACAGGTATACTGGATATACCTATACACACTGAGAGGTATACCCATATATATACTCTTGAGAGTTGACTTTACTCCTGGACTATGTTCAGGAGTGAAGTATACTTAGTGCTTGGTATTTGATATTTTAACAGCCAAATGTTATGTATCTGCTAATGATTTACATGTATATATTTATATTACATGTATATATTTATATTACATGTATATATTTATATTTTTTTATGTATTTGCATATTCGTTATGGGATTATATCTTTGGATAGGCAATTAACCCTGTCACTAACATTGCCCAATTACATAGTTCCTCACTAATCTCTCTTTCATTCTTAATTAGTCTTGTTATAGTTCTCCATTAACTAATTACTAAATCCCATTGACCCGTTTTCACACTAAAATAAGGCCTTAATATGCTTGCCCCACTAACCTTTGACCCACTAACCCATTACCTTTGACCCACTAACCCATTACCTTTGACCCACTAACCCATTACCTTTGACCCACTAACCCATTACCTTTGACTCACTAACCCATTACCTTTGCCCCACTAACCCATTACCTTTGACCCACTAACCCATTACCTTTGCCCCACTAACCCATTACCTTTGCTCCACTAACCCATTACCTTTGCCCCACTAACCTATTACCTTTGCCCCATTAACCCATTACCTTTGCCCCATTAACCCATTACCTTTGCCCCATTAACCCATTACCTTTGACCCATTAACCCATTACCTTTGACCCATTAACCCATTACCTTTGACCCATTAACCCATTACCTTTGACCCATTAACCCATTACCTTTGCCCCATTAACCCATTACCTTTGCCCCATTACCTTTGACCCATTAACCCATTACCCATCACAGGTCGTCCGGGGGAGAGCGTCACGGGTCGGCCTCGGACGTGGACTCCGAGGAGGAGGGTGAGGACAATGAGTACACCGTCTACGAGTGTCCAGGACTCGCTCCGGTGAGTGACCAGTCAGTGAGTGAGTGCTGAGTGACAGCAGGATGAGTCCTGAGTGATTGATGAGCGCTGCGTGATTGAGAAGTGGGTGACTGATGGATGAATGACAGACCAGAGGGGAACCTCCCTAGATACAAGGGTGACCTTCATAACACACTAATGGTCACTCTAGGACCAGAGGGCACTCCTCATATACAAGGGTGACCTCCATAACACACTAATGGTCACTCTGGGACCAGAGGGCACTCCCCAGATATAAGGGTGACCTTCATAACACACCAATGGTCACTCTGGGCCCAAAGGGCACTCCCCAGATACAAGGGTGACCTCCATAACACACTTATGGTCACTCTGGGCCCAGAGGACACTCCCCAGATACAAGGGTGACCTCGCTTCCGCTCAAAAATGCAATCGTTAAAAATCATAATATATCTAATTTTTTAGTTTAGCATTAATGGGAGTTTTTATCTCTAAACTAAATATTATTAAATGCTTCCTACACGCAGGTCTGAATGTTGGCATTGATCTGGTGCTGAGGTAGGAGTCAGGTGGGGGTCTGTGAGTATGGTGAGGGTCACACTCTAATGGGCCCTGGTTCGGCTCTCGAATAGGACCAGGCATTTGGTCACGTTTCCTTATATGTGGTGGAATAAATAAATAAATACCCGTGACTTATGGAACTCTTGTGGGTTGCACTCAACAATTGGACAGGTGTCGGCCTATGAGGATCTGTATAAGCCTAACAGGCATTCTGTCCCCGACAATAGGAAACCGGAAACGTATTGGAGAACAGTAATGGGGTGAAGAGTACTGTTTAAGGACAGTTTTAGATATGGACGTAATTGATCAGTACTATCGTTTAACTCTTATTATAGTTATTGCTTAACTACTCTGTAATTATGGACCGAGTGCAATGCTTCAAACAAGGGGTAATTAAGCCATCGCCATCTGATGCACCTAGATGATTAATTGCGAAAGTTCTAGATGAACTGTCTTTGGAGGCTGGGGTCAGTGTTCGTGTGTACTCGCCTAATTGTGCTTGCGGGGGTTGAGCTCTGGCTCTTTGGTCCCGCCTCTCAACTGTCAATCAACAGGTGTACAGATTCCTGAGCTTATTGGGTTCTATCATATCTACACTTGAAACTGTGTATGGAGTCAGCCTCCACCACATCACTGCCTAATGCATTCCATTTGTCAACCATCTGCGTGTTTGTCAACCTGTGTGTGTGTGTGTGTTTGTGTGTAATTACCTAAGTGTAGTTACAGGATGAGAGCTACGCTCGTGGTGTCCCGTCTTCCCAGCACTCTTTGTCATATAACGTACGTGTGTGTGTGTGTTTACTAGTTGTGTTTTTGCGGGGGTTGAGCTTTGCTCTTTCGGCCCGCCTCTCAACTGTCAATCAACTGTTTACTAACTACTTTTTTTTTCCACACCACACACACACACCCCAGGAAGCAGCCCGTGACAGCTGACTAACTCCCAGGTACCTATTTACTGCTAGGTAACAGGGGCATTCAGGGTGAAAGAAACTTTGCCCATTTGTTTCTGCCTCGTGCGGGAATCGAACCCGCGCCACAGAATTACGAGTCCTGCGCGCTATCCACCAGGCTACGAGGCCCCTACTCTTGTGTGTGTGTGTGTGTGTGTGTGTGTGTGTGTGTGTGTGTGTGTGTGTGTGTGTGTGTGTGTGTGTTAGCAGTTTAGTAACATTTAAGAATCAACTGATGTTATTGCAAGAGCCTAAAGTGTGTGGGTTTTCTTGCATGATACTATTAAGATAGTATGAATTGCTAGTGTAGATTTCACTGCCTCAGATCCAAAAGATTTTTTTGACGTTACTGATGTATTATTGTTCCCAAGATGCTTATAAATAATGTCAAGTTATACTCGACTCCTCCTTTGAAGGGGAACTCTTTGGTTAACTCATCAGCTGTATCATGTATTCAGAGGCCAACATGTGATGGAATCATCATGAAATGGACTCTGTTACCATCATCAATAGTTTTGATGTGTTTGTGTCTTTGTGGTCCGAGGGCACTTTAGGATTATCTTCAAGGCATCATTCTCCACTTTGTCAACGCCTCCAAGCTTTCTTACAGGCACGTTACAGTAAAGAAATATACTATCCCTTTACTGTACTGTCATTTTCTTTCGATATGTTAATTTACATGAAAGCACATATGTCATTTCTTTCTATTACATTATATGTGATTTTAATTTTTGTTTTTATTTATTCAAAACTAACAGTAATTTGATCAAGCCTAACCTAACCAACCTATGCTAACCGACCATAAGCAAGTCAGTGATTCATGTTCCTAATGTAATATTTCAATAATGTTAGGAAAGAAACATTTGTAAATAACGAAAATCGCTCTGCCTGTTAGGCAAATCGGGCCTTGCTGACTAGGCCAAGTAGTGCGGTTCTAGAATGAGTATAGCAGACAGATAAGACGTGAGTGAGGGCTTACATGACCCCCCACACCTGAGTACATTATCAAACATGAACACAACATAACACAATGCAACTCATGTGATGAGCTTAATTCCATGAGACAGTTCGGAAACCAAAAATTTCTAAACCAAAAACAAATTTTCCCATAAAAAATAATGTAAATTGAAATAATCCATTCCACATGACCAAAAATATTAACTTAAAAATATATTTTATACAGAATTCTACTCATATTTTGTACTACAGTTCAGTTTAACTACATTGTCACCCAGACTTCTGGGAATAAACCATCTGCAACTATATATATGTTCTGGACATAATTTTATACATATCACAAATCTTGCCAATTGTAAAACTATCTAAAATATACACTTTTGGACTATTTGGACTATACTATGTTATACTACTCTTGAACTAAAATATACTACTTTTTTAATAAATACTACTGTACTATTTCTTACAGTAGCAGGATTACATTAAACAATTTTGCATAACTTAGTCAAGTCAGTTGAATGATTAAATTCATTATTTGTTCAATTAGGAGATTGTAATCACCCTCACTGCTCTTTGGCATTTTTCCTCTCATCTTTAATCATCTTGTAAAAAGTAATATTCTGGATAAATATTTGCGAGAATGGAGGGTGGTATTTAGCAAGACTGGAAATTGGTATCATTTGCCATCCTATGAAAATGCCGGACATGCTGGAACAACCACCAGTCACCCTGCAAAGTTTGGCGAAGCTAGCCGCAAGCTTCTGCCCTCCAGCTTCGAACAGACACTCGTTCTCTTTTATAGATGCAGACATTCATACGGGTCCCACCAATAGTAATGTTGTGAGGACCCGTAGCCTCGTAGAAGAGAACAAAAAGCATTCAGGACCTTTCCATTTCTTCCTGAATTTGTTTGAAAAATTTTGTACAATTTACATATTAGTCGCATGTAACTTGCAAGATACATACATACCTGTTTTCATTTTCTTTTTCTCGAGGGGGGACTGACGAGCACACTTTTCCACAGACTGGTGAGATGGAGGTGAAGAACCCTTTGTTCCATGACGATCCCACACCCGCCACGCCCTCCATGAGAAAGGAGACTGAAGAGGCACAGAAGGACGAGCAGAAGGAGGAGGAGGAGGAGGACAAGAAGGAGGAGAAGGAAGAGGAGGAGAAGAAGCAGCAGGACGAACTCAAAGCCAAATGAATGCAGCGTACTGGAACGTTGGAAGCAGGACAGCTCACATATGCTTAAGCGTGTCAAAATATTGTATACAGTATGTTATAATGTATAAACTAAAGATGTGTCAGCAATCAGTAAAAGGAGTATAATCAGTGTTTGGAGAGTGATCTTATAAGAGCCAGCACAATAGGACGCAAATATAAATATATATACAGGCATTATAACATACTTAATGTACTGTACAACAACAAATTACAGCAGAGATAATGTTTAACTGTATTGAAAACCCAGAAATGTTAAAATCGAAATGTCATTTATCGATCTAAGTTTAATAATAATTCTCATTAAAACTATAATTCCGCATAATTATAGCATGAGGCAGGAGAAAGGCGTTAATGAGGTTTCAAGGCTATGTATTGCCAGACTAGGAACAATATTGAAAAGATCAAGGTGTTGAGAGCTCGTATGCTTGCATAGCTGTACTGGCTGTGGCAACACTGCCTGTAGCTATAGAAAGGTGATTTGTATGTAAACAGCTGAAAGTTTTAGCAAGATAACTGGTATACATAACAGCTGAGAGTAACTATAGTAAGATCACTGGAACACAAAACAGCTGAGAGTAACTATAGTAAGATCACTGATACACAAAACAGCTGAGAATAACTATAGTAAGATCACTGGTACACAAAACAGCTGAGAGTAACTACAGTAAGATCACTGGAACACAAAACAGCTGAGAGTAACTATAGTAAGATCACTGATACACAAAACAGCTGAGAATAACTATAATAAGATCACTGGTATACAAAACAGCTGAGAGTAACTATAGTAAGATCACTAGTAAACAAAACAACTGAGGGTAACTATAGTAAGATCACTAGTAAACAAAACAACTGAGGGTAACTATAGTAAGATCACTGATACACAAAACAGCTGAGGGTAACTATAGTAAGATCACTAGTACACAAAACAGCTGAGAGTAACTACATGTTGGAGTTTTGCTTGGTGAGTCTTTACCCACAAATGTCTGCACTAGTTTAGGACGACTCAGAAATAGGAATTATTATATAATTTATCTGGTATTATGATATAATTAAAAGTTGGAAATTTCTTAACAGTTATCTACAGTTGACCCAAGTACGAAAAATAGCCTTTCAGAAGAATTCATTATTAGATATTGCCTCAAAAATGCTGCCACCTGCCAATGCTGAATTAAACAAATGCTAGCGTTGATGTCATTCTCATAAATATATTGCAGTGAATTAATATATTTCTTAAATTGGTTTTGCATGGAGCTAAAGGGACTGTACATGTGGTGTGCAAGGCTAAAGTTGTGTGTTCTGTGACACACCTAGGATGCAGGCTGGTCCTAATATTTATCATCTAGGATGCAGGCTGGTCCTAATATTTACCATCTAGGATGCAGGCTGGTCTTAATGTTTACCATCTAGGATGCAGGCTGGTCTTAATGTTTAACACTAAAGATGCAGGCTGGTCTTAATGTTTATCATCTAGGATGCAGGCTGGTCTTAATATTTAACACTAAAGATGCAGGCTGGTCTTAATGTTTATCATCTAGGATGCAGGCTGGTCCTAATATTTATCATCTAGGATGCAGGCTGGTCCTAATATTTACCATCTAGGATGCAGGCTGGTCCTAATATTTATCATCTAGGATGCAGGCTGATCTTAATATTTATCATCTAGGATGCAGGCTGGTCTTAATGTTTATCATCTAGGATGCAGGCTGGTCTTAATGTTTACCATCTAGGATGCAGGCTGGTCTTAATGTTTAACACTAAAGATACAGGCTGGTCTTAATGTTTAACACTAAAGATGCAGGTTAACTTTAATACACTTAAGATGTAGACTGGTCTTAGTGTTTAATATTTAAGATGCAGGCTAATGTTATATGTGCAGATTTAACACCAAAGATGTAGGCTGGTCTTAATGTTTAACACCTAAGATGCAAGCTGGTTGGTCTTAATGTTTAACACTAAAGATGCTGGCTTATTTTAATATTTTAACACTTAAGATGCAGGCTGGTCTTAATGTTTAACACATATGATGCAGGCTGGTCTTAATATTTAAGTCATATTTTGTACTTATTAAATCTGTCATCTCTTAGTACAAAAGAAACAGGACATTATCCATTAGTTTCTCAGCATTAGCATAGTATGAGCTTTGTCTAGTCTCATCTTAAAATATTTTTCAATATATTTTCCAAGAATTTTAAGCATTTTCTTATGAAGAGAATAAAATAGGGATTTATTCTTAAATTCTATAGCTCAATGCACTTATGGTAATCATAACAAAATGTCAGTGATTCAACCAAAATATATTTAAATAACTTTATTTTATATATGCTTAAATGAGACAAAAACAATCAGGCATAAGTGTTATTTTTTGTTTACTAATGTGTGGGCTGAAAATCAAGACCGTCAAAGTCTTCACTTTAACCAACTGAAGTTTGAAGTGTCAGAAGCATTCACGTGCAGCATCGATTTCCAAACAAAGATTATTTGTCTACCTTTTGTTTTGTGCACTAATAAGCCTGATGATGTTTGGAAAGAGGCACCTTAGCCACCGTCAACAACAGTAACGCAACTGTAACCAAAGCCCTAGTCATTTGTTTTTATGTATGGTTTGAGTATCCTCTTATATATATATATATATATGCTTTTCTGTAAAAAGCATGAATAAAGCTAAAATATAATTTTATGTATATATTTTTGTATATGTATGTATAAGTATGAATGAGTATAAATATATGTTCTTTTCATTTTATGCATTAATTTATAGCTCTGGAGACAGAGTCTCAGAGCAACGACACCCAACTTTCTTTACGTTTTGTCACATCTACAATTAAGATCATATGCTGAATGTTATTCACTCTCCCTACAATTCTATATATTTCTTTGGCACATTTGAGTTTCCAACTTCCATCTGTGTCTCACCACCCCCTCCATTTTGTTCAAGCTGTGGCCCACCTTTTATGTTCCACCTGTTCCAGCTGTGTCATTCCACCTGTTCCAGCTGTGTCATTCCACCTGTTATGTTCCACCTGTGTCATTCCACCTGTAATGTTCCACCTGTGTCATTCCAATCTGACTCCACCTTTCTAACTTGGTCATTCCCTACATGTGTTCTCTCTGTTCCATTCCTCTCTTTTCCAAACAGTTTTCCCTCATCTTCTTTTTTTTATTATTCCTGTGAGTATCATGACTTATAATTATATCTTTTCCAGAACTTCACATGATTAATTTGAGGCTAAATTATCTTAGCATATCCCCATATCCCATTACTCCTGCTTTGGCTTTGGAACCACCATCTGAGATGCTTCTGTACTTTCTTTATTCTAATTTATTTGGTTGATTAGGTCAGAGCCTCTAGACCCATCAGATGACTGATGTTATATTCTATTTCGAATGTCTTGTCTGGAGTGTGTCTCCACTACTACTTCATTTTGTTCATTCCACAATTAAACTAGTCCTTACTGGAGGAAAAATTCCTTTTATGTCTCGGGGTCATTTGAACATTACATTTCCATCTCTGTGTTATTTTGTGTGTGTGTGTGTGTGTGTGTGTGGGGGGGGGGGGTGACTGTGTATGAATGTGTGTACATGCATACATACATTACATATATATACTGTAGACTTTTTTCCAAGGTTTTGTCCTTTTAAACAATTTTTTTTTTTGTTATAATTTAGTTTGCAAATTATATTTTATGTATAATGTACAGTTTAAATTAAGTTTGATCTATATCTTCATGAAGTTCAGATGTGGAGATTTATTACAGGGATAAGATATAGTGACTGTACGTATGCGTAGCTGATTATCCGTATCTGTACATACGCATGACTAGTACAACACACCAATAGAGAGAAGCACTGAAACGTACTGTATATCTGGGTTTAGTATGATGGGATTTTTGTTTTTGTTTTTTTTAATATAAACATGGTAAAGGTTTTTTCAAAGTTGATTGCAAGATGTTCACTATTTTCTAGTGTTGGATGTACTTGAGCAGGTGACGAACGACCACTTAAAAGTTTTATAATTTCCATAAAATCATGTATGTATTTTGTGGCAATTAGTTTGATGGAATTCAGTAACTCAGCATCAATAATTTATTTCTTATTAGTAGTTATTTCAATCATTAAAAATTGAAAAATATAAACATTAGTAACACAGTTAATAGTTAAGGAGTACATTTCAATTACGTTAACTGGGAAAATATTTTGGTGAATATATCTCTGTAAAGTAGTTGAATCTTGGAATATCTTGGCTCATAACATAGAAATAATAATATAAAGAAGTATTTCTAAGCTAGTCACTAACATCTGCCCAACATACTACCCAATAATTGTTTGAAATGTATCGCATTCTCCAAGTTCATGATACTGTGCAAAATCCCTTCACAAGATCTGAAAACCATTTTCTGAAGCAAAGATAATTGTTATGCTTGAAAAGAAGAATCTACCACCTGTATCAGTCTTATGTAGTGTATATTAAATATGCCATTGGGTTTGTCAACTGATCTGAGGCTTGCCTTCTTATTCCTCTCAACTTCATAAAGTCTTACAAGGAAGTAGAGATAAAAAGTATTGTCTTCCTGATAATTGATATAAGCATGAAAAACGTGCAAGATTGTTGAGGATTCTGCAGCTGTCATGAGAGAGAGGAAATGGGAACATGAAAAACAAGAGTTGTACTGCAAAGATTATATTAAGAAATAGACATGGTCTAAGTAAGAATATGTATCCACTTGTATATAAATGAGACACTCGCTTATGAAGGCTTGGTTCAGTATGTATGGATTAAAAATATTTTACAAGGAATCTGAAGACAAACAAATACATTTCAAAACAGAAAAAAAGCTTGCTAAGCTTTTTTCAAGACCTCTTATAATAGTCAGTGTTGTGTTACATTTAGGGAATGGTTTATAGACATAAAATTATGAAAATAAATATTTATTGCATGCCTTGATTGTCTTTATGTTCAGTATTACCAAGTATACATACGTATATATAAATATATATATGAACAGTAATTAGTGTTGAGTGATTTAGAATTAAGGAGAGTCTAGTTAGTTTGCCTGGGAACAAATATATTTTTGCTGTATCAGATTGTATATTTAAAAAAAGAAAGCCTTTCATTAATTCATAATACGTAAAAAAAATACCTGAGGCATTGAGGCTTGTTGTCTTAAGTACAGAAAGTAACCATCATTCAGACAAGATGATCAACCAAGATGTTCGTGATTCATCTTCTGATGGTCCTTGCCTCTGTAACCTGAGCATACAGTACATCCAAGCTAGTAAGACCCCTGTCGTGAAAACTAATTAGTATTACCATTTCCCAAGTACTGTACATTTACTAGCATTTGCCATATTAAGAACAACACTACAGGCAAAGGAAGAAGATAGAGGTAATTTCTTGACCAGGGCTGTTCTAAAGGAGCATTACTCTGATTTTGAGAAAGGTACCTTATCTCTGCAGCCCCGTATGCTTTCACATGTATGCTTCAGTTTTGTGTGGCTGTGGGTGTGGTTTTGTGTGGGTGTGGCTGCACTCCGTGGCTGATGACAAGAAGTTAGCATAGCCTCAGACACGCTGCTATATCCAGTATCACATTTAGATTGTAGCGATGTGCGAAGCAGACGTGAAAAACTGTAGCGGGGTAACTCAGGAGAAAATTTTCATTCTCTTTTTGGTTTAAGCTCCATATCAGAGAATCTCTCAGACAAAAAGAAATTCACACATGGTAAATTTTGACATGTTTTTCTTTTTTGTTCTGAGCAATTTACCTATGTCTTCTCAATCATATCTCGTGTAAGAGAAATTTGTTAATATGACAATATGGTTCACTGTGGCTATTAAACAGTCGGGGCAATTTGACACAAGGGACATAACACATCACATCCATTGGTGAACCAAATTATTTATATATATGCATATTTGACCAGAAATTGAGGTTCAGCATTGTTTTGTGTTCTCCACAAAAAAGGTATTGTAATCCAAATTAAGACTCAAGTACACAAAACACTAATATCATGCTTCCTGAAATCTTATTTTGTACGAATTTGTACTTCCAATATTTGTAATACTTATACTGTACTATGTTTAATTTGTTAAGTGACATTTAACCATTTCATGTGGAGTAGCTGTATTATGTATAACATCTCATCAACGTAAATTGATATTCTTGCCTATTAAGGATTAGTAATTGAAAATATAACTTGGAAGACAAAAAAAATGCAACTCAAAAATTAATGAAACTGGTTTAGAATTTTACCAGATTGTATGATAATTAAAGCATCAGATTTTTAGTTCAGAAAGTGAGTTTTATTTGACCCTCATGAGCAAGGAGTCAATGGTGGTGCCATTTGAAGAAATCATGCATATACGTATAGGTAAACTTTGTGGTGAAATTTTTTTTACTAACCAATGGATTTCGTACTCATCCTGTGGTTTTCTGAAATGTTATAGATCATGTAATATAAAGTGTTCAGGAACTGGATAACAGTGTTCTTTAAGCAAATGTTAAATACGTGTTAAGCTAGCTACTGTTACAGGGAGCGAGTGCAAGGACCAATCACACTGGAAACTCGGAGGTACTATGTCTCTCCAGCTGAGATCCTCTAATCTCTAATGTACTGCAAAGTTTTCCAAACTGATTCACCTTGGACCACTTTACATTAGCTAGAGGTACTCACAACAACAACAACAACATCCCTGGGAGCCACCTGCTCAGCTTTAGTGTTACTTGAAAGTAACACTCGCCAAAGGACCACACCTAACTGATATAAATATACTTAAGATTGCAGAATTAGCTAAAAACAATCAAATTATATCAGAATTATATACTCAATAAAAAATGACTACCAAGTAAAAAGCCTAAGCCTAAACTATATATCAAATAGAAGATATATACACAAGACGACCATAATATATGAACTTCAAACATACTTAAAAGATGACGATCGGTCAACCCGTCCTCAGACCAAGTCCATTCCATCCATCGGTTAACCCCAATGATGCATTCATCAATTTTAACGTACTGTCCATTCAAAATAGGAATTTTCTCAAATATAAATACTGTATTGTTATATATAAGCATATTGTGCATATTTAGGTATTGGTTAGGTTAGGTGTTTAGGTTCTGCTGGCGATTATTTGTACTTGTAGTACGTGGATGAAGCATTTACAGCATTGTGGTTCGAACAAAAGTCGTCAGTGAAGAACTTGTTCGAGAAGTGTTTGAACGTCATCAGTTGTGAATGATGTGTAAACCACTTTTCCTTCATAAACAGGGGGTGTGGTGGATGGGTGGACTGGACTTTGGGCTTTGTTTATGAGGACGGGTTGCAATTAGTGCACAGATAACTGAGTCGACGACTCTGAAATGTTCAACACAGGTTTCATTTTAAAAATCGAGATACTGTATAAAATATTGAGTTCAAGGCGAGACGAACTACAAGACAGAACAACGAAATCGCTGTAGGTGAAAGTGTAGCCGTTATCCTCGCTGTGATCTTAATAACAGGGGAAGCACATTGCCTAAGATTAGGCAGAGCAGTACTGTAAGAAATACCCATATGTTAACAAATACGGTGTTTAATGTTCCGCGAGGTATTTCCCACATGTCGAACATTTACACAGATGAACATCACCAGATCTGAGCTCAAACGGTAGTGGATCTTGACGTTTTAAATAACTTCCAATGGTGTTATTGTTAGTAAACGCGAACAGAAAGCTAATTTGTGGATAATTATGGCTAAGATTATCCCTAAGTTCCTTCTTAATATAACGGCTTACTGTACCTAAATATGGAAATTTGACATACTGTATGTCAATAGGCATCTCGATAGTAGGTAAAATTTGGTAGTTAGGAATCTCCTCAGAATTCTATAAAATATCTTGCCAGGGAACGCATTCTAAACCAAAAAAAAACAATCGTGCAGAAACGTGACTTTAATATCAAATAATTGGCACACTTGGAACCTGTCTGTTGCAACATCTGCGTACATGGATCTGTATATTGGAACTCTTGCATATATGGACCTATTTAGTGTGACACTTGCACACACGAACCTGTCTACTGTTCAACCTGTATAATTGGATCTATTTATAAGTAGTTGAGATGAGGCGTCCCACCTCTGTTACAATTCAAGGTCAAAGATTAGATATCTCTGGCAACCTTGGACCTGCTTTTGTGAGAGTCAGTTGATATCTGGTTCCCAGAGACCAGTCAACGTCCAGTGTCTCTCACTCACAGGTCAGTCAATGTCCAGTGTCTCTCAATGTTTATTTTACAGTGTTCATCTGTCTCGACTCTGCACATTAATTTGGTAGTTATCTTCCGCATATATCCCCATTAAGGACTCTATCCCTTAGGTCATAACGATAAATGAGAAAATGCATGAATCCTAGACTTTGATGAACTCTACTTCTTACCAGACACTTTAATTCTCTGACTGGTGTATGTTAGTTAGCCTCTCACCTGTGTCAGTGCTCTTCCACCACTTACTCCCATCGGTTTCTCTTTAAGCGGAACTGTTTCAAAGGTGTTTTTGGTAGTTCAGAAATAGTCTGCCCATCCCTCACTATCCTTGTTTCCTTTCTTTATTACCTGGTATTTCCCATGTAAATTTTGCATCAAATATCATATCAATCATTTTGGCTTCCACCATCGGAATCACGTCAGGTTCTCTTCCGCTAATCATTTATATTGTTTCATGAGCTTTATTTGTGACTCCATCAGCATTATTATACCAGATCTTGAGGCTCATCTTAGACACCCTGTTTCCTGAATCCTCAGAGCACTCATCTATATTTATTTCTAATGGTGTGAGATGGATGTACTATTGAGTGAGATGAGTGGCAGTGAGGTAGGGAGTAGTTGTAGGATAGAGATATATTGTGATAAATATAGTGGTTGAAGGGATGAGGCGTTGTGAGGTAGACACGGGTTGTGAGGCAGACACGGGTTGTGAGGCAGACACGGGTTGTGAGGCAGACACGGGTTGTGAGGCAGACACGGGTTGTGAGGCAGACACGGGTTGTGAGGCAGACACGGGTTGTGAGGCAGACACGGGTTGTGAGGCAGACACGGGTTGTGAGGCAGACACGGGTTGTGAGGCAGACACGGGTTGTGAGGCAGACAGGAATGGGTTGAGAGGAAGAGAGGAGCCGTGAGATAGGAATGGGCCCGAGAGGCAAAATAAAATTGAGTGACAGAGCTGAGAGATTGAAAGGGGCTGAGAGGCAGGAAATGGTTGACAGAGCAGGGTTGAGTGGCATGAAAGAGCCCGAGGCAAATGGGGACTGAGAGGGATATATGCACTAAGAGGGCGATATGCTGATAAAGACTGAAATGCAAAGAGGTACTGAGAGGCAAAATGAGACTTTTAAGCATAGATGGGCTGAAAAGCAGAGATAAGGGCTAAGAGGTAGAGCAGGGGTGAGCAGCACAGAGTGGCTGACAGCTGCACATGGGCTGATAGATAAGATTGAAGACTAAAGTGGATTTGATGAGCGGCTTGGGAAGGTCTAGAGGCGCAGGGGGTAGTGAGTGTGCGAGTGCGTGCGTGTGTGCAAGTGTGTGAGTGTACTTACCTAGTTGTGCTTGCTGGGGGGGTTGAGCTTCGGCTCTTTGGTCCCGCCTCTCAGCTGTCAATCAACCGGTGTACAGATTCATGAGCCTATTGTGTGAGTGTGTAGTTGCACACTTCAATGAAAGCTCTTCCATAAGCATGATAAGAGAGTCACTCCGAGCTCCCTATAAATCACACAAGCTTTCCTTTGTCTCTTTGTAATTATCACTGAATTAAATCAATCAAACAAATAAATGTTAGTACTATATAAGCAATGTCAAAATCACAAAACCTAAAGGTATAAAAGAAGATTTTATGAAATAAGTGGATTGTGAGGTTAGGTTAGGGTGCGTTGGGTTAGGCTAGGTTAGGTGCATGTTGACATGACGGGATTGATTTATGGCGTCCAGTTCAAACATGGAACTGACCTTAGCTTCACTGTCAGTCGCCAGAGTGAGTGTGAGTGAGTGTGAGTGAGTGTGTGTGTGTGTGTGTGTGTGTGTGTGTGTGTGTGTGTGTGTGTGTGTGTGTGTGTGTGTGTGTGTGTGTGTGTGTGTGTGTGTGTGATCAGACGCTGACGAAGGTCTACCCGTGCCAGCAGGAGCATGGAAGAGCACCGTGTAGTTCCTGACGTTGTGGACGCCGCGCCTCCCGCCCTTCTGCAGGTGGGTCCTTTGGTGTGTCTGTTCCCTCCTGCGATCCTCTCTCCTCTCTCCCCCTTCCTTCTGCCTCTCTTTATCACTTGTTTTGTGCCTCTTATTATTCTACAATTTTTAACCAGATTGAATATACCACGACTAAGTTATCTCATAATTTTATCCCTGATTTAAAAGTATGTTTATGAACATTGAGAAAACAAAAAACAAATATTTTCTTTCTATGTTTGTTCCCTTTCCCCGTTTGTTCTCTTCTACGTTTGTATTCTTTCGTGTGTTCACCCTTATTGTGTGTTCACTCTCCCAAGTTGTTTTCTCCCTGTGTCTTCTTATTTGCAAATAACTCCGTTGGGGCTCAAGATAAAATTAACATTTACCAATAGTAGCACAACGGCTAAAGTTTCATTGTGTTCAAGATTGTACATAGACTCAAAGACAATAACTTTTCAACAATTGACATTGTTGTCATTTTCCAGCTTAAAGTTTATATTTTCTGCTGGCTTAAATATGGCAGCCTAGTCAGGTAAATATTCCTGAAGTATTCCTAGCCTAGTCAGGTAAATATTCCTAAAGTATTCCTAGCCTAGTCAGGTAAATATTCCTAGCCTAGTCAGGTAAATATTCCTAAAGTATTCCTAGCCTAGTCAGGTAAATATTCCGACGTTTGATTTATCTAATTTAAACAAATGAAAATCATTCTAAATAATTTTACATATAGACAGTGTGGAGGAAGTCTTGCTTCTATGACCTTTCTTGACCCCCTTGGAGCAGGTGAAGTACGGGGCGCTGGAGGTCAGCGAGGGCAACGTCTTGACCCCGACACAGGTGGTGACCTCGCCCACACACCTGTCATGGCCCAGGGAGGACAATGCTCTCTACACCCTCTGTCTGACAGGTGTGTTGTCCTCCGTTATATTCAGGTGTGAGCATACATCAAGGTAAACAATGGCTTACTGATCCAGTTCAATCCTAGGAACATTTACGTCAATGAATACAACAACGTTTTTTATTTAAGACAAAACATGCTGTGTTGTGCTGTGATTTTTACCAAGTCTAATATTTCTCTGCAATGATGTGGAAATTCGTGTAGGGTTGCAATAATGGCCAACTCATTACCATATCCAGTTGCATGGGTGCCTCCAGAAGGCTCTCATCATTGCAAATGTAAAGATCATTCGTAGGCTTACGTGTGATCTTTGCATTACGAGACATTATATAAAAATAGGGAGTTCATGGAGGCAGTATATCAGCTGTCGTCTAGCAGACCGCAGATCGTCAATATCCCTCCGCCCAGCAAAGTAGTACATACCTTCATTTGGTGATTATGGATAACCGGTAGAATATATAAACGTTTTGTTAATGAAAAGTGGACCCCTTTATATTTTCTACAAGAAAAGGATTGTTAAATGGGAATATTCAGTGCTGATTGGACATCTGGTATTGAGGGGCGAACGTCAGAGGGCGTCCTCAGAGACTAGACCACAAGATGGCGGAAGGTGAAGTACAGTTGGACAGAGACTCTCGGTTCTAGCGAGTGTTCGACACGCCAGACACTCAGATAAGTCATAATTCACATTAATTTAACTTGCAGGATATCAAGTCTAAATAACACATCAGTTAAATGGTTGTCCATTCAGGTAACATCATCATCAGGGACACAAATATAATATGAGACCTGGACTCTCTCTATATAAGTACTATGTCATTTGAGTAAATACAGAGTAATTATATAGAGAGAGTCCAGGTCTCATATTATATTTGTGTCCCTGATGATCTTACCTGAATGGACAACCATTTAACTGATGTGTTATTTAGACTAAGGTTCCTATATTGATATTTATATGAGTAAATTCATATTGTGAAGATTTTGCCTATATGAATATTTCTGGCTTTAGCACATATCTAAAGTTCCAAGAGGGAGGGAATTATCAAGAGAAAGCGCCAAGCCATTACGACTATATAGCATTTAAAAAGGATTAAGATAAGGATTTGGGATGGGACGGGGGGAAGGAATGGTGCCCAACCACTTGGACGGTCGGGGATTGAACGCCGACCTGCATGAAGCGAGACCGTCGCTCTACCGTCCAGCCCAAGTGGTTTGGATAAAGTTCCAGGAGTGAGGTGTGGGAGCCCGCAGTGATCAATCATTTTAGGTTTTTCTTTCTATATATCTATTTTTACTGTTACGCAACCTAGGTGTTTCTGCGCTCCTCTGGGGATTTTCCCTGGACCTTTTTCCCCAGGCTCAGGTAATAATAAATTCCAAGGCGTACAACCAAGGGAAACTACCCATAATACATGAGTCCAAGCCTAGGTAAGGTGCGCTGAGACACACACAAGCAACAATTAAGCCCTAATAATATAAGAAGTAGTAGATGGGTTTAAAGATCTACCTACCTTATACAACTACCTACGACCTCTGGTCATAGGTAGTTGTGTCAGAACTCGTGCCGTTGTTCTGGCAGGTAAACTATCTTCTCAAGATAACAATCATGAGGCCGTCCGCCATCACTAAACTAACACCAGAGTCTTGTGAATCCACGTGATTGGCTGCACGACTAAAGGATAAAGTATCGCGCATACGAAATGGGTCGAACGACTTCTCTGTGTTACTACATGACACTGTAACAATGTACGAATTTAGTGCTAATTGCGTCAATCTTACACCATTTACAGACCCGGACGCCCCCAGCCGCGACGACCCCAAGGTCCGTGAGGTGCTCCACTGGTTGGTGGTCAACATCCCAGGCTGCGACCCGGCCGCTGGGGACACCCTCGCGCACTTCGTCGGCTCCGGTCCTCCTTCAGGCACCGGTGAGCGTGGGAGGGCTGGGTGAAGGTGGGAGGGATGAGTGAGGGTGGGAGTGATGGTTGAAGGTGAGGGCTGGATGATGGCTGAAGCAAGACGGGTGCAAAAGACAATAGAGAGTGGACGAGGTAAGAGACGGAGGAGACGAGCGAGGCTGGAGAGAGAGTAGGAAGCAAGGGGAAGATACACTCACAAGATGGTATATAAAGCAGAGACGAGACATGAGATAGACTGGGGGGCCACTCCTGTGTCCTGTTACTCACGCAGTAACTCAGATCTCCAACAAACAGTAAAAAATCTGCCTTTAAAGTCAACCAATGTCAATATGTTGTCAAATGTTAAACACAAAAAAAAATCATGTTGCATGTGTCTATTATCAACACAGGTTTGCTTCACATTCCTTGCTTGGCGTCAAATAATGCAGTGTACCGTCTCCCTTAGGCCTGCACCGTTATGTGTACCTGGTGTACCGTCAACCAGGCCGGCTCGACTGTGATGAGCCCAGGATTCCCAACAACACAGGTGAATCAGTTTAGTTTTCTCACTATCTCATTCTCTTTTTATTAATATTTTTAGCTAAGTTCCGCTGTTAAGTCACTAGCTTTCATTAACCAGCCTCATCAATCAATAATCAATTATCCAGCCAATTTCAATAAATTATCAGTGAGCAACCGAAATTTATCAGCTTTTATAAGTCAGTTACCACGAGTCAATAATCAAATTATGTCGTACTACTCGTATAATTATTTACCAATCACTAACTTCGACAATTTACACCCAATCACAATTAAGCACTTACCACTCTAAAAGTGTTCAAGCGTCACAAAATCATAAAGTAATTTCTCAAGAGTCATGAGATCACTAACCAGTTAGGATCGAAGTAGTCAGAATCATAAAACAATCAGTCATAAACCAACCACAACCAGTCTTCAACTATTCTCGTCCAACAGCTGAACACCGGAGGAACTTCAGCATTAGAAACTTTGCTGCCAAGTACAAACTGCAGCTGGTCGCAGGAAACTTTTATCAGGCAGAGTACGACGCCACCTCCGACCTCATCCGTCGCCAGCTGGGTGTGCTTAAGTAACTCCTGGCAGTGCGACCACAGCTGGCTATCTCAAGTACCCTTTACTACCAGTACCGAAGCACCCACAAAGACTGAGTTTTCACTAACAAACCTGGTATTCTGCACAACTGCCGCCCTCTGCCCCACCAGCGTCGCTAACAACCCACCGCCATCACCGCTAACAGCACCATCACAGCTGATCATGACATGTGCAGCTCCACTGAGGCTTCAGGAATCACCATCACATCATCAGCAGCATGAGAATTTCTTCCATAAAGTTGCAGTAATTTAATTATATCGAATTAAACATTCCTTGAATAACAATCTGAGTTATATTGCACTAAGTAGTTACAATAATTGTTTATGTACTACAATAAAGCTTTGCTTGAGTTTATCGACTGCTGAACCTGTATTTGTAGCTTCATAAAGAGTTACTTTCCTGGCAAGACGGAAGGGACCTGTCCTCCCACCCTGAGAACAGGTCAAGAGAAACCCAAGCACACTATTACAATTTTCACAACACCTGATGCGTGCCTCCGTCATGTGTGGGTCGTTGATACGTGTATCCTTAATGTGTATCCCTGATACGTGTCTCTGACGCATGTATCAAAGAGCTTATTGTAACGTATTTAATTACAGGTATTCACTTTTTTTTATTCTCCAAACCGCTTAGAAAACCAAACACCTGCACGCAATCCATTAGCCCCCAATCGGCAGGTCATTACTAAATGGCAGTTAATAGAAGCGTCCATTATATATATGAACCAGCTTCCTGAATATTTTAAATATTACACTGGTGCTAATGGCATCGTCGTGTTCGTGCAGTCTTCTGTTACAACCAGATCACACTGGCCAGCAATCCGTCTCGCTCTACATGTCGTATTTTGAGCGAAATCGACGAACACTTTAAGAACTGTAACGTATTAGCGAGAATTACATCACCATAATAGTGATGTTCCCATGTGTCAGTGTGGATGTGGTCGGTGGGTTGTTTGGGTTGGTACGTTTCAAGTTAGGGGAAATGTGCGAATGAGAGACTTAGACTGTTGTCTCCGTGGTCACTTAAATACACAATGTTGAAGGACGCACGAACAAAAATTTCAAGTTTGTTATAAAAAAAAAACAGGTGGGTATATGAGTTTGCAATTTCAGCTTGTTGTTAGGAGTCATAGAATTCCCACCTCCATCAGCCTATCTTTTATATATATATATATATATATATATATATATATATATATATATATATATATCACTTCTCAGCCTACTATATAATAAGCCTATATTATAAATTTTCTCCATATGAAATATAAAGCTACTGTCGTACCTAGTAGCCAGAACGCACTTCTCGGCCTTGCTATAGCAAGGCCCGAATTGCCTAATAAGCCCCGAAGTTTTCCTGAATTTATGTATTTTTCTATTTTTTTCTTATGAAATGATAAATCTGCCCATTATGTATAAGTGAGTTTTTTTCAATTTGAATTAAAACTAACGTAGATATATGACAGAACCTAACCAACCCTACCTAACCTATCTTAACCTAACCTAAACTAAATCAATAATTTATGTTCTTAATATAATACAATAATAATATTTAAAATAAACCAATAGGAAACAATTTATTGAAAATAAAGAAAATCACTCGGCCTGTTAGGCAAATCGGGCCTTGCATAGTAGGCCGAGAAGTGCATTCTGTCTACTAGGTACGACATATATACATATATATTTATATTGTATGCACAAGGTAAGTGGCGTGACCATAACGTCACAATGTACACACAGCTCAAGCTTTCAGAGCCTAATGCTACCAGAAACACTTCCTCTGTCCCAGAAGACGCCTTCCCTCTGTGAGCGAACGTTGTGTGTTTAGTTTTAATCTTATTGATAAGAATCTTTCAGGATTTTTATAATACGAATGAGTAACAGTATTGCGTCGATATAACAGTATTAAAATAGGAAAAACATTGTGGTTGTTAGAATTGCGATACAAGGTAAATTAGCATGTCATTCTTGCTAATAATATAGAAAGCTAAGTGTATCAGTAATACTCTACGATGCAAAGGAGTTAATCCCATGGAAATTTGCCATATCTAAATATATTTCTTTATTTGGTCTTCAAATTATATGTATTAAGATTATTTCTGTTATGAAATTCACGTCAAACTTCCATCAAGAATGTCCTTTGCTTTTACAAATGGTTGGAATTCAGTCCCGTAAACGTTCTGGTCTAAATCCATCCTAAGAACCTCCATTATTCTACCTTAAGTTCCTAGATGGCAGCTATTGATCAATAGGAGACGTCTTGGATGGCAGCCATTGACCAATAGAAGACGCGCGAGTCAACAACAGGTTTCATCAGCGCGAGGCTACAGGGCCCACAATCAGTAAGCCAAGGAGTCCCCGCCAGTGTTGATATCAAAAGAGCTCCGCCTTAAAGAGTAAGAATTATGTATTTTGCTACTGAGGCAAACTATTGTGTATGGAGAAAGTTACCAAACCAATTTATTTAACTTATTATCACTTTATTATATAACAATAAATATACCATTTGTGTGTGGGTGGTCGCTAGGGAGAGTTCAAAAAGTGTGAAATTTCAATAATAAAATAGTTACTCATTTACTTTAGTAAATGAGTGGGTGGTTGGGAAAGCCTTTTGAAGCTGTGAATGGAGTGTCTGTCTTGTTACTGCGGCCAAAGTATTGATAGCAGGAAATTGTTACTAATTTTCCAGAGACCAGTGTAGCCTAGTAAACACATAGCCGGCGGGCCGTGCCAAAATAATCTTTGTGTGGGTCAGAACATGACCCCTGTCACGTTGTTTCCTTTTGAATCATGGGGACCCCGACCAGCCGTAGCAATATCAAACGGATTGTTTTATTATTTTATACTCTAGCATCTGGTGAGGACGACGAAGCGGACATGGCCAAGCTGCTGCTGGTACGCTGGCGTTGGGCGTGGATACTGGTAGTTGGGGTGGGCGTGAAAGCTGCCACTGTTTACATGGGAGAAACGCCCATAAGGTGCCTAGTCAACGACACCAGCCAGTTCACCACAAAGTCGAGGATCATGTGCGCCCTCATCTGTACCATGCATCAAGGATTCACCTTCTCCTTCCAAGGTCAGCAGAGGCTAGCTGGTATGGGTTACTGTGGCTCTTACAGAACATATAGATCCCCACTCTGGTATGATTAACTGGTTCAACCCTAAATAAAGTTCCTAGGGGCTTTATCTCTTAGCAGGTCTCTATCTAAGCTTTAAAACGAAATTAGAAACGAGCAAACACAGAATAGATAGAGACAGAACTAAAATATTGACAGCAAATTGACCAAATTTTGGTCTCCAAGGTGGCGTGTGCACAGTGGGTGGAGCTGGTGAAGCAGTAGGAGCGACACACATGAGGTACACGCTGACCAACATACCAGATTGCTCTGCCCTTCAGGAGGTCGCCCACGCCGGCAAGACCGCCTACGCTAGCAGCATTTATTCAACGTACGTATTGTTATAGCCTCTAGGATGAGATAGCTGGCTTGCAAGATTCACTAGACTGTAAGGGCATTTAGGAGCATAATAATTAAGGAAATTCCTGAAAGCCTATTGACCCATACGAGACGGCTCCTATTTACATCCACCCAAACCTAATCATGTATATGTCTAACGCCTGAAAAAATTAATCGATCCTGCAGTTACTTTACACGGCCAGCTGGTCTGTATGACGTCCAATGTTATATATAATATAAATTACATAACCTATAAAGAATGCTGCGGACAGTGCAAAATATAAATACACTAACAATTTTAACCCAATAAAAAGGGTTTTGTCAAATTTGTCACTCAATGTTTTGAAAGTAAACCGTGAGCCGTTTTCTATAAAGCCTCTAAAAGGGAACTGCTGCTCTCTTCACTTTTTCCTATTCATGCTCCTCTAAGGCGCATTAGTAGAAAACACATCATATATATAATATTATTTCTGATACATATACTTATCAAACTAGAATATCTTACATTACTTAAGCAAAAGTTGTATATATCTTAAAATATATAAACGTGAACTAGTGTCCTCATCGTATCTATGTAAGAAATCGATAACGATTTGGTCTGGGTTTGAGTTCTGGCCACGAAGGATTGACTGGGCACCAGTCTTTAACTGTTCGCTTCTGTTCATTCACCTGGTTGTTAACCAATTAACTTGACTCTAAAATCCTGTTACAGTAACGGGCTTGAGCAATATTTCTCTCCTGCCCAAATGGTCACTTCCGCCTGTCACATCCTCACAAACCTGTCAGTTTCGACATTTTTAATTTTATCTTTGTCATCGTAAACAGCGGCTACGACCAGAGTAAAGCAATAGACGCCGACCTGGCAACCTGGTTTGCATCGCTTGGTGGAAGCGAGCAGAGACCGTGGTGGATGCTGGACCTGGCGAACGTCTTGTGCATCTGCCGGATCCAGCTCCTGCCCCGAGGGGCGCCCGATGACTCTCTATACTTCCGTGACATCGAGGTAATGTAAAGATGTGCGAGACATATATGATGGAGTCTCAGACTACATACTATGTAAGTGTTGAGAGCCCGGGTCAATCAGGTACTTGGGTCGACGCAATCAATACCTGATAATTCTCAACAATTAATATTCTCCTATCTTCTGTATTGCGACGTACAGCTCTCCTACTTACAGTGTTCCTACTTAAGTTCTCTTGTGAAATAGAGATGTGTACAATGCCTCAACCACCACCACCTTGATGTTGGCTTCCCATCCTTCGCTTCAGTCCTGGATTTACTTTTACCCACGACTGTGTTTTGTGTTTTACGTCCTCCTTCTTCTGTTGGATATCCTTTGCCTCACGTCCTTAAAGGAATTTTTGCATTTGCCTCCTCACCCCGAGTACCGTTTCCTTTCGACAAGAGTACAGAGAAAATTAATATTTCCTTCATCAGTATTACATCTTGGGCTATAATGTCCCCGCAGGTACGCGTGGGCTCTACAAACGTTACCAATGGAAACTTCAGCTCCTGGGCGCTGTACGCCACGTATCCTGGACCATATTCCTACGGCGGCGGCTACATCGATCTCCTTAAACCAGTGGGTGTCTGTGGCCGCTACATCAGCGTCCAGAGAGTCGTAGATAACCCGTCCAGTCTCAAGCTCTTCAATGTTAATGTCTTTATTTGTTAACTTAGCAAAAATTACTATCCTAAAGTTGATAGGATAACCATGGTTCAGAGTAAATATTTATTAAGTTGCAAGTTCTTATCCAAAAACAATCCATCCACATGCAGCGAATGTCTTGAAGGTGTTCACATAAATTATGACAGGTTACATTAAGGATTTCCTAACACCTTTATCATTTATAACATTAATATAATCCCAGCTTATAATATACTAAGCCTTAACTTACAATATACCAACCTTAACTTATTATATGTTATCTCACAACTTGCATACTGATATATTCTAGTCCAGACATTTTGGACGTAATCATTATCATAATTTGTGTTCAAGGAAATTGTCCAAAAATAAATTCTAATAGATTTAGCACTTAAAAGAGCTTTGTAAGATGTAGTCCCAATCATGCACAAACTAATCCACTTCTTCAAATTCTAAATTCACAATCTAAAACTTTATTCGTAAGTGATTGACACATAAATTACATAGTTTATGAATTTAAAGTACATTATTCATTTATTATAGAAAAACAAATAATAATAAGCTAATGTGATTTTTGTGTGCAATAAGCTAATTCTTAGTGAATTTACCTCGGGTTCCGCTTTCCCCAGGCCTCTCGGCCCCTTTATTTGGCTACCGGCTGAAGAATAAGATAATTTGAGGCAGGTGGCCAAGTCACGTCCAAGGATCCTCTTGGCTGAATGTCCAATAGGAACGAGGAGTAGTTGGCCTCCTTCAAATAGGCTAAAGATGTCAATACTGTGGCGCTTCCTGACAATCCCTGTGTGGTTTATTTGTCGTTGGTGGCGACCTTTCCAGAGTTAAAATATTTTCAGGATGAGAAAATCTGAACAAGTTACACACGCTCCAGTATATAAGATCCGAAGGTGTGAACAATTGCTCCTTCACACTATCAATGCTGACGTTCAGGTAGAACTTTACACCGTGAATACGTCCCATACCAAAATGTATTGGCATGGAACATCTTTGTTATTAATTTTATGCATGTACGGTGTAGTAATAATTTTGCTGCTATATGACAATAATAACAATAATTACGATAATAATAATAATTAATAAGAGCAATAGATAACTTTAAGAATACGTGCAAATTTTGCATAAAAACACTAGGGAAAAAAATTTGAACGCAGGGTTATGAATATACACCCAGCGTTGTGCGGTTTCAATTGTTAGACGTATCAGTAGGTCCGTGTTCATTCGTTTTCTGTTAAGTGGTTTGGATATAATATATTCAGTTACGTTGTTGTGATTCGTCGCCTGCACATACATTGAATTTACGTAAGTCATTAAATATGTACGTGATTAGAGTATACTTTACATAATTGGTTATGTAAGGTGGCCTTAATGACCTTCTTCCGGCTGTTGTTGTTTTTAGAATCTGCCACTTTAAATAATACTATATATTTACGCCTGTTTTTCATGAGTACTAACAAATATTATCTAAAGTCTATTTTTTTATCATTCACAGCTAAGATCATGATCTTGACTCGAACTGTTTGAAAATTAATTTAACTTTTTGAATTTAAAAGATTTTTAAACCCTGCTGCTGTTTGGGTCTCTGGTGCACGAAAACATCTTCAATGTTAGATAAAGACCAAATAAGTGTGTTTTGATCAGCCCGTCCTCCAAACAAAGATCCAAAAGTGATTCCATGCACCCGCCAAACCCCCTGTTTATGAATGAAAAGCGGTTTACACACGACTCACAACTGCTGACGTTCGAACATATCCGGAACAAGTGTTTCACTGACGAATTTTGTTCGAATCACAACGCTATAAATGCTTCACCCACGTACTACAAATACAAATAATCGCCAACAGAACCTAAACACTTAACCTAACCTAACCTATGTTTTATTGGTTTATGAAAATGTAATATCAATATATATATAGGTTAAGTACTAATTGTAATTAAGAAGCAATAAAATGCTTGTCTTCATACACTAAGAAATTAGGTCGTGGGTTTCTATTCAGCTTTTCAGGTAAACTAATATTCACAATATTTGGGTGCGATTCTGGCGATTAAGTATATTTATGTACTAAACCTATAGTCAGGATTGTACTTATTACGTTTAGTATGAAAACGTACTATCTATTCGGAGGAGGGGCTGTCATGCTGTATGATAATGTAGGATTTACCAGCGCTATATCGGGCAACGTTGAGCTGCATGTTGTGCAGCTCAGTCACTAAATTATTCTTGTTACGTTAACACTTCAGCAGTCTACCTCCACCATCCTGACAATGACGACTCTTACGGACCTATAGTACGTATATGATATGTTTATTAAGGTCTTTTGTTTAATTATTTTCTGTTTAATATTACTATTATACTGTTGTGTGAAGAAGTGACAGTACCACCATTCTATTTTTCTACAGTACCAAAATTAAAAGTAGAGTAGATAGCAAATTCCACGGTGTTCACAGTGACAACAAATTGGATTTAATTTGCCGTATTTAGAATATAACAAAAAAAGTTTCTAAGGTAATCGGCATTCTCTTAAAAATCCGATACGATGTACCTCGCTCTACCCCCTAGTAACACTTGCCTTATTCACTCATCTGTCCATATCTACGGCTTCTGATCCTCGGGATCTACAGCCCAAAATTACCTTCGACTATTAATCATAAATCGGCAATTAAACCAATAATACACTCCAATCTCGTTCAGCAGTCAGCACTCTTACCGATTTAATTGGTGTTGGGCTCAAGGCCTACCAATCTCTGGAAGATATGTTCATTCGGGTAAAAGTACATGCATTAAAATTGAATTACAAACATGATGTTGAATTTCTAGATAAGAGCTAGTACATACTATGCCTAAAGCCACTAATACGCACAGCGCTTCGGGCAAACGACACAAAAGGTTAAGACAACCACGATAGCTTATTGACCATCTAACAAGAATGCTTTAGTCCTTAGCATAGTCCAAGACTAAACACTCAGTGTATATACACCGAGGAGTGGAGGTCACCTCCTGATGTATATACTTTATCTTTATCCTCGAATCTATATAATAGATTATAATTATATCTATAACATTCATAAAAATATAGAATGCTTGTCTGTCCAAGGTGCTTGGGACTAGCCTCGCCCAACTTCCAAAAATAACACATAAGGTTCATAGGCCAGTCGGGGAGAGGGAGGCGGGGAAAGGGGATAGTGGATGGGAGAGGAGAGGGCTGGAAAGGGAAAGAGGGTGGAAAGTTGGAGACAGTTGACGACACGAGAGGAGTGGCGGGGATAGGGGAAAGAGACGTGAGACGGAGAGGGGTGGGAAGAGGGGGAAAGATTGGAAGAGAGGGTGAGGAAGATAAAACTGGAGGAGGGAGGATGTATGAAAATGTAAAACTCTATGCAAAACAAACTCCCGATTTCAGATTTCATTAAAATTACGAGGGGGGTTGATATAGTTGCCAATAATTTTTCAAAGGGTAGCACTGGAGGGGGCATTTTGTTTTTAAAAGTATTCTATAAATTGTAGTCTGAGATATGCTAAAATAGGAGCCTGACAATAACTTCTTAATTGGTCTAATGTGATAGAATCGTATTATTCCTTTCACCTTTGTTCCTTAAATGAGCTCATGATTCCGACAAAATTTGTGTCTCAACATTGAAAACATTTCTTCAAATGACAAATGAATAGCATAGTGTGTATATGGCCTGATATTTCTGCATAAGGTTATGGACGTGTTGCCAAAATGAGACAAATTATTAGACAATGCTTTATTTTAATTACAGCATCTGAAAGTAACTACAAATATCAACAATAACAATGATTGTATTATGTGAATATTAGAATATCAGTTTGAAAATAAACTTTGCATCAATATCTTATATCTGCCTTACTGCGAGATATGTTGCTAATCGTCATACTCCTGAAGACCCATCTCAAGCTCAACATGAATAATGGACCACAAATTGGTATTCTAATCATAATATAGTACAATACTTAAATCTACCAGTATGTTAATTCATACATCAACAGAGGGTTTTCATCTTGCCCTCAGATTTTAGTACAGTGTGCGAAAGTTAGAAGTGGGCCTATAGCAGTTAGACCAATGATAAGATCAACAAAATGTTTTTGTAAATATTTGAAGATTGTCAGCAAAGGAGGAAATTTCTATTAATACATTTTAGTCCAATACTGTACCAACATCACAACATACGAACTCTTGCCTACACCCCTCACAAGACACGGCTGACCCTTGCCCACACCCTTCACAGGACACAGCTGACTGTGTCTTGTGAGAGTCAACTCAAGTTATTTTCATTTAAAGTTAATTACTTTTAAAAATACTATACATTTATAAAGTAGGACTGCAATATGCATTGAACTGCCCACTTCCATAGATTTTGGTCGTCCTTTTATATAAAATCCATCCTTGTCCACATCATGTAACGCACTCCCCACACCACACTAATATAACACTACTCCAAAGACCAATTTGGCTCATATTTGTACAACAATGCTAGATTAGTTAAATGTGTATTGGTTGAAAGTCTTAAAAGCTCTGGACTTCTGTATCAAAACATTGTCAGCAATCTAAACTTACATTCTTTCTCTCTTAATATTAAAAGTGCACATGTTTTAGCAATCAATTTTCTTTGTTTATTTGGCAACTTATAATTTATTCATACTGGGAGAGAACCTGTGTACACTACCTGTGTAGGAGTAAGGCAAGTCCTATACATAATGCTTGAAAAACATGTTTATTTCTGCACATTAATAATATTAGACTGAAGCTTGAAAATATTTTAATAGATTTATTTATTTTAATTTTTTTAATAACCAAATTTTAATATTTTACTAGAAAAAAAATATATATAAATTCAAATGTAACAATACCAGTTTTGTTTTATATTTTTGTAAACTGTACAGTACATATGCAGACTGTCACAACATGGCTAAGGATATGTCTAAACCACACATCATCAGAAAATGAAGAAACGAAGACGTTTTGGATCGTCCTGGACCATTATTATGTTGTGTACAAAACATGATTATGGTCCAGGACAAACCGAAATGTAGTCGTTTCTTCTTTTACTGTACTTGTCGCTAGGTTAAGATTATACGTAAATTTAAACTTAAATTATCTTCAGTATACAGACAAGAACAGGCAGAAACATAAGTATCATGAATAAAAACAATAAATTACAATATTTTACTACTACTGTAATCCCCAAATTAATATATCATGAACACAAGATCTTTTTGAAGGAAACAGAATTATACCTTGTGCAGTAAACAAACAGCCTGAACATTATTAAAAATGTGAATTTATTTATAAACAGGTTGCCACAGAAATCTAAAGACAGTAACTACATATGATGCCAATATATTATAACCAGCATGGTGTATTACCTGTTTGGAGAGTTATGACATCAGTTCAACAAAGAATTTGATTAATAAGGTTTTATTACCGTAATGAAGAAGATTTTCCGAAATGCAATTAAAGAGCAGCTCCACAATTATACTAACTTTGCATGTACCGTCATATTTGTTCACCATAGTAAGGTAAACTGTAGGATGCGCACACAACTGTGGCACTCGGCGTAGAGAGGTACAGTACTTGCAACCTGTATGCATGCCCATCATATATCACATAAAAGGTGTGTCCCATTCATGTCTAGTCAAATACAAAACAGTAAGGCCATAACACATGCGTGTGCATGCCCAAAGAAACACGCACACATACTACAAGTGTTTTACAGGTTTGTATCCCTTTACCTTCTATGATAATGCTTAACCAACACTCTTCAGGCAAGCCATGTGGAAAACTGAAAAGAACTTGAGCATCATTAAAAATCCTGTTATTTATGACATTTTGCATTTATGCTACTGTAAGTAGTGTATAACTTAAGATGCTGTAAATCCTTGGTTTTATATAATATAAAAGAAATGAATGAAAAATTTATTACATTACTTTGATTTTACTTTCAAAATAGCACTTTAACTCTGCTCATTAATGATAAATTTTAACTGACAAAGCTAAACTGAAAAAAATAATTTTAATGCTACAGTATACAGTTTAAAGAAATTTGATAGTAATGTCATGATCAGTTAGGCATGTGTGCCAGACAGAAGAAGTCCTATAGAGAACAATACACAATATTGTACACTGTTTTTGTACACAGTTGTTACGAATCTTGCATGGATTCTAACATTATCATGATGCTTATAATACTATATTGTCTATTCTATAATTAGTATAGTATCCAGTTGTGTATCCGATTGACATTGTATGATTATAGATTATTGTATGCTGTAGTGTGCTTGAGTTGTATTATTTGTGATAGGCTTTTGCAAGTTAATTCCTGTTGGGAGGAAGTGTGGTTCTTCCGTGTGGGGGGATGACCATATTTGGATGTGTTTAGAGTATGGGGCCAGAGTCACGAAAGTAGTTACGCAAGTACTTACGAACCTTTACATCTTTTCTCAATCTTTGACGGCTTTGTTTACAATTATTAAACAGTTAATGAGCTCCGAAGCACCAGGAGGCTGTTTATAACAATAACAACAGTTGATTGGCAAGTTTTCATGCTTGTAAACTGTTTAATAATTGGAAACAAAACCGCCAAAGATTGAGAAAAGATGTAGAGGTTCGTAAGTACTTGCGTAACTGCTTCGTGAATCTGGTCCATGAAGTGCCATTAAATTCTAGTGAGTAATGTAACAGTATTATATCCTCTTTAGATTACCTATGAGTTAGTTCTTGGTAATATTTTATTGTTAGTAGAGTTTCACAAGAGTTCATGTGGATGCTTAGTTGATGTGTTGATAGGACGCCTGCTCTGCATGCCAGGATTTAGCCAGAAGCTTGGCTGAGCTGATGGGGTGGAGACATGTACTTAAGTTAAGTTGGTGGTTATTGTTATTTTAGCTGATAACGTAGTTAAGTCTCTCGGTATGACTATTGTGTGATATCCCATTTATCAATTCCTATGTTGCAGAATATTGTCTATGCTCAGTAAGGATTTAATGATGATATTGCATGCTGAAGAATATTTCTAGCTGTTATTTTTTTACCATTTGTATGTTATATTTTGTCACCCTTAGCGTAGTTATATTGTTTTCCCGTTTATGCAGTGTTTTATTCATACCCTAGACACTATTAGACACTATTTGGCAAGGCCGATTTTCTTATACTTTGATCACTGCGGGAAAAGAGCCTTACTAAGTCTCAAGAGTTGTAACAACAGTATAAAATACTGTGTACAGTATAAAATACTGTGTATAGTATAAAATACTGTGCACACAGTACTCTACACAGTACTGTATATATACCAATTGCTCAATCATTAAATTATAGTACTGTGCAATTATTTGGTCGAACGTATAAAACTGAATTGTTAAAGCCAACAATGTTCATGTTTTGTATTAACTTTGTAGAGGGCATGCAAATGACTTAAAACATTACTAGGCCTAATATAACAAATATGTGCTAAATTAGGCCTAGGATTGCTTGGGCAGGTTAGATTAAATTGTTTAGTTACTTTCAATATTCTTTGTTATTTGGGCTAATTTCATAATATAAAAACATGAACTCTTTGGGTCTAATACTCCTTTTTTTACGTATGACCAAATACTGAAGTTGCTGTAAGTACAATCATTATTGAAGGATGGGCTGTAATTAATCTAGTTGTGAAAAAATAAAAAATCGATAGAATAATAATGTAAGTTATTCTCACCTCATCACTTTGTCATGGCTAAACAATGGGCGATGCAAGTAAATTATTAATTAGTCTTAACCTCCCAGTGCAAATAATCACTCTAAGTGTTTTTAACAAGTCTCATCAAATTTATTTGTTTTCTTCATAATGTACAAGAAAAAAATGTACTGTATATATTCACAAAGATTTCACAGTGGAAAACACTGATACAACATCATGTGCACAATTTGCTACATTTTCCGTATAGAAAAAGTCAATACTGTATATATATATATATATATATATATATATATTTATATATATATATATATATATATATATATATATATATATATATATATATATATATATATATATATATATATATATATACATATATATATTATATATTGTATGCACGAGGTAAGTGGCGTGACCATAACGTCACAATGTACACGCAGCTCAAGCTTTCAGAACCTAGTGCTACCAGAAGCACTTCCTCTGTCCCAGAAGACGCCTTCCCTCTGTGAGCGAACGTTGTGTGTTTAGCTTCAATCTTATTGTTAAGAATCTTTCAGGGTTTTTATAATACGAATGAGTAACCGTATTGCGTCGATGTAACAATATTAAAATAGGAAAAACAATGCAGACATTGACCAATAGAAGACGCGCGAGTCAACAACAGGTTTCATCAGCGCGAGGCTACAGGGCCCACAATCAGTAAGCCAAGGAGTCCCCGCCAGTGTTGATATCAAAAGAGCTCCGCCTTAAAGAGTAAGAATTATGTATTTTGCTACTGAGGCAAATTATTGTGTATGGAGAATGTTACCAAACCAATTTATTTAACTTATCCCTTTTTTTTATATATATATAATAATAAATAGTCTACCATTTGCGAGTGGGTGGTCGCTAGGGAGAGGAGTTCAAAAAGTGTAAAATTTAAAAAAAAAAATAGTTACTCATTAACATTAAGAAATGAGTGGGAGGTTGGGAAAGCCTTTTGAAGCTGTGAATAGATTGTCTGTTTTGTTACTGCGGCCAAAGTATTGATAGCAGGAAATTGTTACTCATTTTCCCGAGACCAGTGTAGCCCGCCGGAAACACCTAGCCGGTGGGCCGTGCCAAAAAAAAATCTTTGCGTGGGTCTGAACATGACCCCTGGCACGTTGTTTCCTTTTGAATTATGGCGACCCCGACCAAACGTAGCAATATCAAACGGATTGTTTTATTATTTTATACTCTAGTATCTGGTGAGAACGACGAAGCGGACATGGCCAAGCTGCTGCTGGTACGCTGGTGTTGGGCGTGGATACTGGTAGTTGGGGTGGGCGTGAAAGCTGCCACTGTTTACATGGGAGAAACGCCCATAAGGTGCCTAGCCAACGACACCAGCCAGTTCACCACAAAGTCGAGGATCATGTGCGCCCTCATCTGTACCATGCATCAAGGATTCACCTTCTCCTTCCAAGGTCAGCAGAGGCTAGCTGGTATGGGTTACTGTGGCTCTTACAGAACATAGAGATCCCCACTCTGGTATGATTAACTGGTTCAACCCCAGATAAAGTTCCCTGGGGTTTTATCTCTTAGCAGGTCTCTATCTAAGCTTTAAAACGAAATTAGAAACGACCGAATACAATCACAAAGTGGATAGAGACAGAACTAAAATAGTGACAACGATCAAAACAACGTATTAACACCTAACTAAATTTTCCATATTTTGGTCTCCAAGGTGGCGTGTGCACGGTGGGTGGAGCTGGTGAAGCAGTAGGAGCGACACACATGAGGTACACGCTGACTAACATACCAGATTGCTCTGCCCTTCAAGAGGTCGCCCACGCCGGCAAGACCGCCTACGCTAGCACCATTTTTGATCTGTATGTATTGATATAGCCATTTGGGTGAGATAGCTGGGTTGTACGATTCACGAGACTGTAAGGACAGTTAGTAGGCATCCATCAGTCTCAGGAGACTATGGAGTTGTGCTCAAGTTGTCGGTCTGGAGTGACCACTCCAGGGCGCAAAGCCAGGGTAGGCAGATACGGGGGAGAAGCCGTCACCCATGAAGCACGTCCCCTCCCCCCATCTCCACGGCGCCGAAAGTCTCCAATGGAAAGGCAAACGCCAATACGATTGGTTCCAGCGCCGTTTTGCCAGAAACTGCCAGAACGAAACTGAAGGCAACAACGAGCATAATTAAGGAAATATAATTAAGAGCATAATAATTAAGGAAACTTCTGAAAGCCTATCGGTTCATACGAGACGGCTTCAATTTATATCCAACCAAACTTAATCATGTATTATATCTAATGCCTGAAAAAATCAATCGATCCCGCGTTACTTTACACGGCCGTCCAATGTTATATGTGTGTATAAATAACTCTTGTAACTTGTAGTTCATCACCAGGTAAAACAAAGAGTGATGCTGACAGTTTGCAAAATATAAATACACTAATAATTTTAAACCAATAAAATTGTTTTGTCACTTGAGAAGCAAACCATGAGCCGTTTTCTGTAGAGGGCCTAAACTGCTTTCTTCCCTTTTTCCCTATTCATGCTCCTCTAAGGCGCATTAGAAAATACATTATACATATAATATTCTTTCTGATACATATACTTATCAAACAAAAATATCTTGCATTATTTAAGCAAAAGTTGTATATATCTAAAAACATAAAAATTAACTAGTGTCCTCATCATATCTATATAAGAGATGATAAAGATTTGGTCTCAGTTAGAGTCCTGGAAACGAAGGATTGACTGGGCACCAGTGCTTAACTGTTCGTTTTGTTCACCCACAATAATTGGGTACAGCTGGTCATGTTACAGGGAAACTAGCAGGGTATGGCTTCCCATGAGCTATGATAAGAAAAAGCTCTCGGCCTGCTAACAGGAGTTGAAAGTCGTCTGCTCCTGTACCCACATGTGTAAAAAAAAAAAAAAGCTTAGGAAAATGCCAAAAGTCTACCTTACGGTCGTGTGGGAGATATAAAGCATCGAATTTTCTGGATTGAATCTAAAACAATTACTAAAAGCCATTGAATCCTCTTGTATTAAATATAGTGATTATTGCAATTTGCATATTTGGCCTGGACTAAACTAAATAAACAGTTTTATATTTTGTTGAATTTGCGAAGAATCCAAAGTTGTGAAATACGTGTTGTGAAGATAACAAACGTTGTTCTGGTCATCTCCCAGAGACTCACCCAGCGGTTTATGGAGCCTGATCTAGTCTGTAGCTGTGATCATAATTTTAATATTTAACATTATTATAATATTGAATGTATTAATGGACAATGTCTTAAATTACTGACAGTGTTCATTATGGTTGATGGTATTTCGACGGCCTCGTATTTTACTGGTCCGAGATTATTGGTTCTTTAATTAATAAGTAAGTTTTATGTTGATAATTTAAATTGCAATTAACTTAGCTCTAAAATCCCGTTACACTAACGGGCTTGAGCAATATTTCTCTCCACCCCAAATGGTCACTTCCGCCTGTCACATCCTCACAAACCTATCACTTTCCACTCTTTTTTTATTTTATCTTTGTCATCGTAAACAGCGACTACCACCAGAGTAAAGCAATAGACGCCGACCTGACCACCTGGTTTTCATCGATTGCTGGAGGGACGAGACCGTGGTGGATGCTGGACCTGGCGAACGTCTTCTGCATCTGCTGGATCCAGCTCCTGCCCCGAGGGGCGCCCGATGACTCTCCATACTTCCGTGACATAGAGGTAATGTAAACATGTGCGAGACATACACAGTATGTAATGTGAGACTCCATCATATAAGTGTTGAGAGCCCGGGTCAGTCAGGTACTTGGGTCGACCCAAGCATACCTGAGAATTCCTAACAACCAGTATTCTCCTACCATCTTTGTTGCGACGTACAGTTCTCCTACTTAGTGTTCCTACTTAAGTTCTCTTGTGAAATGGAGAAGTTTCCAATGCCTCAACCACCACCACCTTGATGTTGGCTTCCCATCCTTCGCTTCAGTCCTGGATTCACTTTTTCCCACGACTGTCTTTTGTGTTTTACGTCCTCCTTCCTCTGTTGGATATCTTTTTCCTCACGTCCTTAAACGAATTTTTGCACTTTCCTCCTCAGCCTGAGTACCGTCTACTTTTGACAAGAGTACAGCGAAAAATTAATATTGCCTTCTTCAGTATTACATCTTGGGCTATAATGTCCCCACAGGTACGCGTGGGCTCTACAAACGTTACCAATGGAAACTTCAGCTCCTGGGCCCTGTACGCCACGTATCCTGGACCATATTCCTATGGCGGCGGCTACATCGATCTCCTTAAACCAGTGGGTGTCTGTGGCCGCTACGTCAGTGTCCAGAGAGTCGTAGATAACTCGTACGGTCTCAAGCTCTTCGATGTTAATGTCTTTATTTGTTAACTTAGCAAAAATTACTATCTTAAAGTGGATAGGATAGTCATGGTTCAGAGTAAATATTTATTAAGTTGCAAGTTTTTATCCAAGAACAATCCATTAACATGCAGCGAATGTCTTGGAGGTCTTCACATAAATTATGACATGTTACATTTAGGATTTCAAATTCAAATTCAATGTTTTTATTCAGGAAAATGACATACATAGATGATTTGCAAACATAAAGTTGTATTTATAGAAAGAGCTAGTGCATACAATACCTAAAGCCACTAATACGCATAGCGTTTCCGGCAAGGTATGGGAAAAGACACTTAGACTAAAACTTAATAGTAATTGGGATTAGGTATAAATTGTGTTGAAAAAAGGAATAAAAAAAAAGGGGGAACATGGCAGAAATCATCAATTGTACAAGTTGGAGAACCAACAGCATTGTTTAAAAAAAGCAAGCCATGGGTTGACATTTAGGAGTTAAGGTAGGTTACATGGAGTTAATTAGGTAGTACTTGATTACACACAGAAATCACAATAGCGTGATGCATCAAATGAACAAATCCACAAGGGCCGTGACGAGGATTTGAACCTACGTCCGAGAACATCCCAGACGCTGCCTTAATTAATCGACTGAGATACGACATGGTCAAAAGAATTGACAATGACGTCATGGTCATGTCGTAGCTCAGTCGATTAAGGCATCGTCTGGGATGTACTCGGACGTAGGTTCAAATCCTCGTCACGGCCCTTGTGGATTCGTTTATTAGGTAGTACTTGGTTTTACTCTTAAACTAGTTGAGATAGGTACAGCCTTTAACATGATTTTGGAGGTCATTCCACATTCTAAGTCCCTTGATTTGTAGAGCATTTCTAGTTTGGTTAAGTCGCACTCTTGGAATATCAAATAGGTATTTGTTTTTGGCGTGATGCCCATGAGTTCTGTCACAACCGTCTAGGAAGCTTCTAAGGTTAGGATTGACATTGCATTTCAGAGTTTTAAATATATAGAGCACACATGAGAGGATGTGCAGTGACTTAATATCAAACATATTCATAGATTTGAGTAAGGGTACCGAGTGCTGTCTGGGGCCAGAGTTAGATATTGTCCTAATAGCAACTTTGTGTTGAATAATTAGAGGACGTAAATGATTTTGTGTAGTAGAACCCCAAGCACAAATACCATAATTGAGATAAGGATAGATAAGAGTAATAGAGCGTCACCAGGGAAGGACGTGGTACATAATATCTGATCTTAGAAAGAAAGCCAACAGTTTTAGAAACTTTTTGTGATATATTTAGAATGTGTCCCTTGAAATTCAGCTTGTTGTCGATGAGAACACCAAGAAATTTGTCATCTACTTTCTTTCTAACTTGGGTATTATTTATTATTATATTAATTTTATTTGAGGATTTATTGCCAAACAAAATATAGAAAGTTTTGTCAAATTTAAGGGTGAGTTTGTTGGCAGTTAGCCAAAGATGGACTTTATTTAATTCAGTATTCACTGTGTCATTTAAAACAAGAGGGGTCAGGACTGGAGAAAATGAAGGTTGTGTCATCAGTAAAAAGAATTGGTTTGAGGTGTTGAGAGGCATGTGGAAGGTGATTAATGTAGATGAGAAAGAAGAGAGGGCTAGTATATACAATGCCTAAAGTCACTATTACGCAAAGCGTTTCGGGCAGGAAAAACACCAAGACTAAAACTTAATACTAATTGAGATTAAAGTATAAATTGTGTTGAGAAAATAAAAAAAGGAGGGAACATGGCAAAAAAAAATAGCAAATATACAATTTGGTCAACAAACAGCATTGTTTAAAATAGTAGACATGGGTTGACATTTTAGGGGTGAGGTAGGTTACATAGAGTTAATTAGGTAGTACTTAGTTTTTATCTTAAACTGGTTGAGAAAGGTACAGTCTTTAACATGATTGGGAAGGTCATTCCACATTCTGGGTCCTATGATTTGTAAAGTATTTCTAGTTTGATCAAGTCGTACTCTTGGAATATCAAATAGGTATTTGTTTCTGGTGTGGTGCTCATGGGATCTGTTACAACCTTCTAGGAAGCTTTTAAGGTCAGGAGTGACATTACAGTTTTCCGTTTTATATATATATATATATATATATATATATATATATATATATATATATATATATATATATATATATATATATATATATATATATATATATATATATATATATAAACACACATGAGAGTATGTGCAGTGACTTAATATCTAACATATTCAGAGATTTGAGTAGGAGTACAGAGTGATGTCTGGAGGAGGAGGAGGAAAGTTTTTAAAAGATTTTTTTTTTAAAGAAGGTGAGTTTTTTTTAAAGGAGTTATAAAGGGGGAGAGTTTTTTGAATAAATGATTGCACTCATTTCCTAACACTTTTAGCATTTATAACACAAATATAATCCCAGTTTGTAATATACTAAGCCTTAACTTACAGTATACCAACCCTAACTTATTATATGTTATCTCTCAATTTGCATACTGATATATTCTAGTCAGGATATTTCGGACATAATCATTATGATAATTTGTGTTCAGGGAAATGGTCCAGAAAAAAATTCTAATAGATTTAGCACTAAAAAGAACTTTGTAAGTTGTCGTAGTCCTACTCATGCACAAACTAATCCACTTCTTCAAATTCCAAATTCATAATCTAAAACTTTATTCATAAGTGATTGACACATAAATTACTTTGTTTATAAATTACGTATTTACATATCTTTATAAATTATTCATTATTTATTTATAATAATAATAAAATAATAATAAGCTAATGTGATATCTTTGTACAATAAGCTCATTCTTACAGTGAGATTACCTTGGGTTCCGCTTTCCCCAATGCTTCTGTAAGTAGTGTGTAACTTAAGATGCAGTAAATCCTTGATTTTATATAATATAGAAGAAATGAATGAAAAATTGATTAAATTACTTTGATTTTACTTTCAAAATAGCACTTTAACTCTACTCATTAATGGTCAATTTTAACTGACAAAGCTAAACTGAAAAATTTAATTTTAATGCTACAGTATAAAGAAATGTGACAGTAATGTCATGATCAGTTAGGCATGTGTGCCAGACAGAAGAAGTCCTGGAGAGAACAATACACAATACTGTACACTGTTTTTGTACATGTATACAGTATTGTACACAGTACTGTACAGAGTACTGTATATATACCAATTACTCAATCATAAAATTATAGTACTGGCAATTATTTGGTTGAACGTATAAAACTGAATTGTTAAAGCCAACAATGTTCATGTTTTGAATTAACTTTGTAGTTGTTTAGTTACCTTCAATTTTCTTTGTTATTTGGGCTAATTTTATAATATAAAAATATGAACTCTTTGGGTCTAATACTCCATTTTTTACGTATTACCAAATACTGAAGTTGCTATAAGTACTATCATTATTGGAGGATGGGCTGTAATTAATGTAGTTGTGAAACAATAAATAAGCGATAGAATAATAATGTAAGTTATTCTCACCTCATCACTTTGTGGTGGCTAAACAATGGCAGATGCAAGTAAATTATTAATTAGTCTTAACCTCCAAATACAAATAATCACTCCAAGTGTTTTTAATAAATCTCATCAAAGTTATTTGTTTTCTTAATAATGTACAAGAAAAAATGTACTGTATATATTCACAAAGATTTCACAGTGGGAAAACACTTTGATACAACATCCTGTGCACAATTTGCTACATTTTCCATAAAGAACAAGTCAATACTGTGCATGCACAATAGTGCATATACAAACAACATTTAACATTTTAAATTAAAAAAACACAATCTGTTTTTTTATTTAAAAAACACAATATACAGTACATATATTGTATGCACGAGGTAAGTGGCGTGACCATAGCGTCACAATGTACACGCGGCTCAAGCTTTCAGAGCCTAATGCTACCAGAAGCACTTCCTCTGTCCCAGAAGAAGCCTTCCCTCTGTGAGCGAACGTTGTGAGTTTAGCTTTATTCTTATTAAGAATCTTCCAGGTTTTTTATAATACGAATGAGTATCCGTATTGCGTCGATATAACAATATTAAAATAGGAAAAACATTGTGGTTGTTAGACTTCCGATACAAGGTAAATTAGCATGTCATTCTTGCTAATAATATAGAAAGCGAAGTGTATCAGTAATACTCTGCTATGCGAAGGAATTAATCCCAAGGAAATTTGCCATAGCTAAATATATTTTTCTACTTGGTCTTCAATTTATATGTATTAAGATTATTTCTGTTATGAAATTCACGTTAAACTTACATCAAGAATGTCCTTTGTTTTTACAAATGGTAGGAATTCAGTCCAGTAAACGTTCTGGACTAAATCCATCCTAAGAACCTCCATTATTCTACCTTAAGTTCCTAGATGGCAGCCATTGACCAATAGAAGACGCGCGGGTCAACAACAGGTTTCATCAGCGCGAGGCTACAGGGCCCACAATCAGTAAGCCAAGGAGTCCCCGCCAGTGTTGATATCGAAAGAGCTCCGCCTTAAAGAGTAAGAATTATATATTTTGCTACTGAGGCAAATTATTGTGTATGGAGAAAATTACCAAACCAATTTATTTAACTTATTATATCTATTTTTTATATATAACAATAAATAGTCTAACATTTGCGTGTGAGTGGTCGCTAGGGAGAGGAGTTCAGAAAGTGTGAAATTTCAAAAATATAATAGTTACTCATTTAGTTTAGAAAATGAGTGGGTGGTTGGGAAAGCCTTTTGAAGCTGTGAATGGAGTGTCTGTTTTGTTACTGCGGCCAAAGTATTGATAGCAGGAAATTGTTACTCATTTTCCAGAGACCAGTGTAGCCCTTCGGAAACACCTAGCCGGTGGGCCGTGCCAAAAAAAAATGTTGTGTGGGTCAGAACATGACCCCTGTCACTGAGTCATGGGGACCCCGACCAGCCGTAGCAATATCAAACGGATTGTTTTATTATTTTATACTCTAGCATCTGGTGAGGACAACGAAGCGGACATGGCCAAGCTGCTGCTGGTACGCTGGCGTTGGGCGTGGATATTGGTAGTTGGCGTGGGCGTGAAAGCTGCCACTGTTTACATGGGAGAAACGCCCATAAGGTGCCTAGCCAACGACACCAGCCAGTTCACCACAATGTCGAGGATCATGTGCGCCCTCATCTGTACCATGCATCAAGGATTCACCTTCTCCTTCCAAGGTCAGCAGAGGCTAGCAGGTTACTGTGGCCCTTACAGAACACAGAGATCCCCACTCTGGTATGATTAACTGGTTCAACCCCAGATAAGGTTCCTTGGGGCTTTATCTCTTAGCAGGTCTCTATCTAAGCTTTAAAACGAAATTAGAAACGAGCGAATACAATCACAGAATGGATAGAAACAGAACTAAGATACAGACAACGATCAGAACAACGTATTAACACCTAACTAAATTTCCCATATTTTGGTCTCCAAGGTGGCGTGTGCACGGTCGGAGGAGCTGGTGAAGCAGTAGGAGCGACACACATGAGGTACACGCTGACCAACATACCAGATTGCTCTGCCCTTCAAGAGGTCGCCCACGCCGGCAAGACCGCCTACGCTAGCAGCTTTTATAGTCCGTATGTATTGATATAGCCATTTGGTTAAGATAGCTGGGTTGCACGATTCACGAGACTGTAAGGACAGTTAGTAGGCATCCATCAGTCTCAGGAGACTATGGAGTTGTGCTCAGGTTGTCGGTCTGGAGTGACCACTCCAGTGAAAATGCCAAAAGTCTACCTTACGGTCGTGTGGGTGATATAAAGCATCGAATTAACTGGATTGAATCTAAAACAATTACTTAAAGCCCTTGAATCCCCTTGTATTAAATAAAATGATTATTGCAATTTGCATATTAGTCCTGGCGTAAACTAAGTAAACAGTTTTATATTTTGTTGAATTTGCGAAGAATACAAAGTTGTGAAATACGTGGTGTGAAGATAACAAACGTTGTTCTGGTCATCTCCCAGAGACTCACCCAGCGGTTTATGGAGCCTGATCTAGTCTGTAGCTTTGATCATAATTTTAATATTTAACATTATTATAATATTGAATGTATTATTGGACAATGTTTTAAATTACTGACAGTGTTCATTATGGTTGATGGTATTTCGACGGCCTCGTATTTTACTGGTCTGAGATTATTAGTTCTTTAAATAACAAGTAAGTTTTATGTTGATAATTTAAATCGCAATTAACTTAGCTCTAAAATCTCGTTACACTAACGGGCTTGAACAATATTTCTCTCCACCCCAAATGGTCACTTCCGCCTGTCACATCCTCACAAACCTATCACTTTCCACTTTTTTTTTAATTTTATCTTTGTCATCGTAAACAGCGACTTCGACCAGAGTAAAGCAATAGACGCCTACCTGACCACCTGGTTTTCATCGATTGCTGGAGGGACGAGACCGTGGTGGATGCTGGACCTGGCGAACGTCTTTTGCATCTGCCGGATCCAGCTCCTGCCCCGAGGGGCGCCCGATGACTCTCCATACTTCCGTGACATCGAGGTAATGTAAAGATGTGCGAGACATACATAGTATGTAATGTGAGACTCCATCATATAAGTGTTGAGAGCCCGGGTCAGTCAGGTACTTGGGTCGACCCAAGCATACCTGAGAATTCCTAACAACCAGTATTCTCCTACCATCTTTGTTACGACGTACAGTTCTCCTACTTAGTGTTCCTACTTAAGTTCTCTTGTGAAATGGAGATGTTTTCAATGCCTTAACCACCACCACCTTGATGTTGGCTTCCCATCCTTCGCTTCAGTCCTGGATTCACTTTTTCCCTCGACTGTCTTTTGTGTTTTACGTCCTCCTTCCTCTGTTGGATATCCTTTGCCTCACGTCCTTAATCGAATTTTTGACATTGCCTCATCAGCCCGAGTACCTTCTACTTTTGACAAGAGTGCAGAGAAAAATTAATATTTCCTTCTTCAGTATTACATCTTGGGCTATAATGTCCCCACAGGTACGCGTGGGCTCTACAAACGTTACCAATGGAAACTTCAGCTCCTGGGCCCTGTACGCCACGTATCCTGGACCATATTCCTACGGCGGCGGCTACATCGATCTCCTTAAACCAGTGGGTGTCTGTGGCCGCTACGTCAGCGTCCAGAGAGTCGTAGATAACTCGTGCAGTCACAAGCTCTTCGATGTTAATGTCTTTATTTGTTAATTTAGCAAAAATTACTATCTTAAAGTGGATAGGATAACCATGGTTCAGGGTAATTATTTATTAAGTTGCATGTTTGTATCCAAGAACAATCCATCCACATGTAGCGAATGTCTTTGAGGTTTTCACATAAATTATGACAGGTTACATTAATGATTTCCTAACACCTTTAGCATTTATAACATTAATATAATCCCACCTTATAATATACTAAGCCTTAACTTACAGTATTCCAACCCTAACTTATTATATGTTATCTAACACTTTGCATACTGATGTATTCTAGTCCAGACATTTCGGAAATATTCATTATGATAATTTGTGTTCAGGGAAATGGTCCAAAAATAAATTCAAATAGATTTAGCACTAAAAAGAGCTTTGTAAGTTGTAGTCCCAATCAAGCACAAACTAATCCACTTCTTCAAATTCCAAAATCATAATCTAAAACTTTATTCGTAAGTGATTGACACATAAATTACTTAGTTTATAAATTACTTATTTACATATTTATATAAATTATTCATTTATAATAATAAAAAAATAATAAGCTAATGTGATTTCTTTGTGCAATAAGCTAATTAATAAGTTTACCTCGGGTTCTGCTTTCCCCAATACGTCCAGTCCTCTCGGCCCCTTTATTTGACTACCGGCTGAAGAATAAGCTAATTTGAGGCAGGTGGTCAAGTCACGTCCAAGGATCCTCTCCAGCCTCTTGGCTGAATGTCCAATAGGAACGAGGAGTAGTTGGCCTCCTTCAAATAGGCTAAAGATGTCAATACTGTAGCGCTCCCTGACAATCCCTGTGTAGTCAATTTGTCTATGGTGGCGACCTTTTCGGAGTTAAAATATTTTCAGGATGAGAAAATCTGAGCAAGTTACACACGCTCCAGTATATAAGATCCGAAGGTGTGAACAATTGCTCCTTCACACTATCAATGCTGACGTTCAGGTAGAACTTTACACCGTGAATACGTCCCATACCAAAATGTATTGGCATGGAACAACTTTGTTATTAATTTTATGTATGTACGGTGTAGTAATAATTTTGCTGCTGTATGCCAATAATAACAATAATGACAATAATAATAATATTTAATAAAAGCAATAGATAATATTAAGAATAAGTGCAAATTTTACATAAGAAACTAGAAAGAAGAAATTGAACGCAGGATTATGAATATACACCAAGCGTTGTGCTTTTCATTGTGTTAGTCGCTTTATAAGTTTTGTGGACGTTCGTGTTCTGTTAAGTGGTTGGGTTATAATATATTCAGTTACGTTGTTGTGATTCGTCGCCTGCACATACATTGAATTTACGTAAGTCATTAATATGTACGTGATTAGAGTATACACTAACATAATTGGTTATGTAAGGTGGCCTTAATGACCTTCCTTCGGCTGTTGTTGTTTTTAGATTCTTCTACCCTATATAATGCTATATATTTACGCCTGTTTTTCATGGGTACTAACAATTATCATCTTGTCTATTTTTTTATCATTCACAGCTAAGATCATGATTTTGACTTGAAATGTTTGAAAATTAATTTAACTTTTTAAATATAAAAGATTTTTAAATCCTGCTGCTGATTGGGTCTCTGGTGCACGAAAACACCTTCAATATTAGATAAAGACCAATAAATGTGTTTTGATTTTAACACAAAAGCTTTTAAGATTTTATTGTGCCACGAAACTCATTAAAATTTCTTCTGATAAAAACAACATAGTATATATTCCAGGTACATTTATTAGACATAAGTGATAACCTATTGAGGCCGTATTTGCCAACTATTAACAGAGAACAAGGCTGTGAAAGAATGGAACTTGACAAAATGCATGACACCCGAGCAGGTTACGGGGGGGAAATGGGGTCTACCTTGTGTAGTTTCCGGGGTCATTGACCCCGCGGCCCGGTCTCCCACCATGCTTCCCGATTTGTCGTTTAGTCAATCAGGCTGTTGGACATGGCTGCTAACAGCCTGATGCATGAATCACATCCTGCTTGATCAGGTATTTTGCCTGCTTGATCAGGTATTCTTTTAGAGGTGTTTGTCAAGTTCTCTCTTGAACACTGAGAGGCTGGCCAATTATTCTCCTTACGTGTAGCGGGAGAGTGCTGAACAGTCTTGGGCCCCTTGATGTTGATAGTTCTCCCCTCAGCGTACTAGCGTGGTTATCTTGAGATGATTTCGAGGCTTAGCATCCCCGCGGCCCGATCCTCGACCAGTTCTCCTTATTGTTACATATCCCCGGGAAGCAGCCCGTAGCAGCTGTCTAACTCCCAGGTACCTATTTACTGCTAGGTGAACAGGGGCATCAGAGTGAAAGAAACTCTGCCCATTTGTTTCCGCCTCCACCGGGGATCGAACCCAGAACATCAGGACTACGAATCCTGAGCGCTGTCCACTCAGCTGTTATGCCCCTTGAGGAATGCTTCTTTATAACTTTAAAATATGTCTTTAATTATTCAATTTAAAGACATTTACTAATAAGAAAATAACATTGAAAATTAGTTTTCAGTAAATAATTATATTTTTAATTGCGCCTAAATTGTTAATGTTTATTGGGTTATGTTAAGGTAAACCGTTAGTTTATGGCTTTTAATTAAGCCTAATTGGTTAATGCTAATTAGGTTATGTAAATTAGGGTAAACCATAAGGTGTTACTACCCTAGATTCTATAACAGTTAAGTTAGTTTTTTAGGTTAGTTCATTTAATATGCACCCCATACCCATCCTGTGGGCGGTATTGGAAAGGGTTACAGAGGCACATAATGGGCTCAGGGACTGAACCCCACAATTCATTTAGTTAAGCAAGTTACAGTTTTGATGCTATAGATAATTCAATACACATCGTCACATCAACAATGGGCTCGAGACCGACCACACGTACAGTTTATAAATTAATCAATTGACATATGTGGAGAGCTAGTGCCACAATTGATAAGTTTGTCCAGCACACCGCCCCCCCCCCCATCCAGTGGGCAGCGGTGGATAGGTCTAATCACTTAGTTATTGAAACTACAGTTAGCTATCTGTGGATATTTGGCTTATATTTCTGGTAGCAGATAATTTTGAATGAAATAGTTACACACCTCTTGAATATTTGTTAAAGAATTGTCTCTGAATTCACGTATCTTTTTCGCTGACGATTAGGAATGAGGATTTTGTGAATATAATATACATTATTAGAACATTTATACTTTGTATTGAATATTAATATTGTGTGTATTGAAGTACGGGCGTAGAGGTAGAACATTTGGTTGACAGCCCGGGTGCATGGGGGGAAAATTGTGTGAAACCCCGATTGGGCCTCGGAGAAGCTGTTTATTGTGCACCCCATACCCATCCTGTGAGCAGTAGCGCAAAAAGCATTACAGAGAGCACAAAATGTCTTTATCAGACCTCATGTTAGATTATTACATAAACAATTTCATTTATCCTTCACAGTTGCACTCCAGGTTGCAATTATTTTACCATGTTGTGGCACAGTTGTCTAAGGAGCTTCTGGGAACATCCCGTGCGAAGGTTCGAGCCCTCGTCACGGCTTGTGGATTTGTTCATTTGATATATCATGCGATTGTGATATCTGTGTGCAAACATTATTATGTGCAGAGTGGCGCTTGTATTCTTGTACTGCCAAACGTACGAGGATACTCTAATGACCAAACACTTTTTAGCCAATTTGAAACACTGTAGAGATATGTGATTAAGAGTGGTATTAATATAACCACCTAACTTTATATAGCCACCACTCACTTTGTATAATGTGTTTTAAGTAATAAGTTGCAGTACGAGAGTTCGGCCAATCCGGCGCCATAGTGGTGCAGGCGGAGCATAGAGACGTTTGAAGGTAGTTGGGTGGGACGGTTGTGGCAGGTCAGGGGAATATTTTTGTAATTATTTATATATATAAATACAAGAGGGTACATTAGGTTTATGAGCGTATATAGCATTAATGTTTTTACATTCTTTTAAAACTACAAACACGCATAGCGTTTCGGGCAGGTCCTCAATTATTTATTTATTTATATACAAGAGGGTACATTGGGGGTTAAGAGTGTATATAGTAATAATGATGATTTTACATTTATTTATTTATTTATTTATTTATTTATATATATACAAGAAGGTACATTGGGTTTGTGAAATACATTGGATAGTACAGTATTTACATTCTTGTAAAGCCACTAGTACGCACAGCGTTTCGGGCAGCTTTACATTCTTGTAAAGCTATTAATTCACGCATAGCGTTTCGCGCAAGCCCTTAAACTAACAGATAATTTTAAGTAGATAATTTCCAGCAAAATTGGCAAAAAAAATGCAGGTACATTGTAAGGAATTTTGACACAATAAACAAAGATTAGATTAATACTCAATAATAACAATACACTGTAATAACAAGGATTACCAGGTACATTAGGGTGAAATTTCAGGGTTATCAATTGGTTCATTGTAGCACAATTTGAGGATCATTTCAAGGAATAATGCAGTAGAATATGCACTCAATATAACAACCATGATATCAAATGATATCAAAGACTACAATGGTAAAGTTATGTGGCTTAGGTACATATATTGGGGGATTAGGTAGCACTACATACAGTGCGAGTTTCAAGCACTAGGTAAGACACTATGAAGATGAAATTAGGTATTTTTTGTTTTTGTTTTTGAATAAGGCAAAAGTTGGACAGTTTTTCATTTCGTTAGGGAGCGAGTTCCATAGACTAGGTCCCTTTATTTGCATAGTGTGTTTACACAGATTAAGTTTGACTCTGGGGATATCAAAGAGAGATTTATGTCTGGTGTGGTGATTGTGTCCTATTACATCTGTCCAGGAAGAGTTTCAGAACAGGGTTAGCACTTAAGAAAAGGGTTTTGTAAATGTGATTTGCACAAGAGAATGTGTGTAGTGAATTTATGTTCAGCATATTTATGGATTTAAACAGGGGAGCTGTGTGTTGTCTGAAAGCAGAGTTTGTTATTGTTCTGATAGCAGATCCTTAATCTAACATTAAGGAATGTATATTTGTAGATAAGTAGCTTTCTTTCTTATTTAGCTGAGCCAGCATTCTTGCGTGTTATATCATTTGTTGTGCAACACTGGCGCAGGTGTGTGAACATATATATAGCATCTAAGCCTTGCAGCCAGTGAGGATTTACTGTTGGTGAGATATAGAACAAGAGCTGCGTGTCCGTAAGAGAGGCCGTAGTACTTGCCCCTCTACATCTCTATTCCTTCCTATGTTGGGTAAGGGATTTAATGTAAATATAGACGAAGTAGAGCATATGTTAGTTACGGGGAGAGTGGGGTAGTTATTAATGAATAAACTAGGATACAATTACTTTGAGAACTGTTACACCAGTGTAGAGAATAGACTGATTTATTTATTTATTTACATACAAGGTACATTGGGTTGTGAGAGTACATCATTTCTATGTTTTTACATTATTGCATTAGAATGT